TTACAAATTCCATTAATTTCTACGGCACACAATAAAAATGTTAATGTTGTTAAATGTATACGCTGCCATTTTCTTTTTTCCATTTCCATGCAAATACATGCAGCTAAATATAATTCATAGCACTTTAAGTATAGCAATTCTTAAAATGCCAGTTAGATACAAAAAACAAGAACCTGATAAATCCATTATACAGAAATAATAAGGGGGCAGGGGGAGAAAAAAGAATCAATTACCTCATTATTCTATCACCTATCGCTGTTCCTCTGATATTATATCTAGCAAAGGGAACAACAACTGAAGTCATTCAAAAATGCTGGATATCATGGATAAGGTTTTTAAAAGGTTAGCATCCATTACAAAATGTGTTCTACTTCTTCCAGTTGAGGAGATTTATGCTCAATGTGTTAGTATATGAGACTATCTCAATTTCAGCAAAAATAATATTCAGATTACATATTAGTACACAAAGTAGATCCTATAAAATGCAGTAATTTTCATAGATTATAGCAGAAATGGAAGCAGCTGCATTATTATTTCAATTTTATGTTTGCATTTGTTTCAAATTTTGATTAACTAGTTTAAAACCTTCCAAACTTCGCCTCCACTCAAAGATCAGCTTCTGTCCAAGTCTACAGAAAAGTAATGGAGTCATTTAAGAAGGAAAACAGCCCTGAAAGAGTTGGATTTTTTGTACTTTGTGAAAATCAAGCTCAGTCAGTTAAAAACAGCATTCTCTGCTCATAAGGTTTATATATCTTTCTTAGATTCCTCACTCTTCCTCACACAGATTACAAAGTACACTGTCCACGTAAGCCATATTATCTCTGTTCCAACTACTAAACTTAGTAAGTTTTAATGAAGATACGCCATGGGCCTAATTTAAGACTTCAAAACCTGTTTATCTTCTCGTATTTGTAAAACAAAGAATCATTTCATGTGGCTCCTTTTTTTTTTCCTTTAAGTGAAAAATACTGTAGGCAATTCCTTATACATTAAAAAGAATGTGTATTGACTAGCCTGTAGTCAATCCAAAATAGAAGCTTCGTTTAGCCACTGATCTTCACCACTCTTATAATGATGTTCAGAGGTTGCAGAAATGCTACAGGAAAAGAGATGTCACATTCTCAATTCTTTCAATGAATATCCTTCAACATCAAAACTATTTCAACCTGATTCCCAATCAATATTCAGTTGACAACCAATTTATCAGCCCACAAAAGACTGTTCTATTTCTACATATTTTGCTGCTAGTATTTCAGGCCCTTTTCAAAACACTCATGTAAGTGCAGGGGTTGCGTTTCTCTATCTGTCACACAGTCTTTCCAGGCAGGTTAGCTGCACACAAACTACCCTCATTGTGTTTTGAGACATTTCAGGAACTACAGCAAGAGTTCATGTTCCTTCTATCAATTCTTACATTGTGTAAGTGAGATAAAAAAGACCCCATTCCTTGTCTGAACACATTAAAAGTTGGAATCAAACAATGAATGTTCTGAAAAATTAGATTTGAAAAATTGGTTTAAAAAAACCTGTTCATAAATCTGAAATCCACATCTATCCTACTAAAAATTGTCCGAATCCTGCAAAGTTGAAGCAGCAGGAAGTTCTCTATTTATTTAACTTCAAGTCACAATGTCAAAAGAGGTATCAAGAGGGTACTTCAGCCACTTCTTTTCCTTAAGAGGAAGTTTAAGTTCATTACTTCAGAGTACAGGTTCAGAAGGCTCCCCTCCCTTTCTCAGTGGAGGAAGCTTTACTTCACAGTGGAAAGCTGAGACAGTTTCTTCTAACGCATTTCCCCATCTGTGGAGTTTTTCCTATACATAAACAATTAGGTATGGGAGAAAAAAAAGTAAAAAATCCTAAAATTTCCTCCAGACAAAAACTACTGATGTTATATACTGCAGAAGGCTTAATAGTTGAACTGTTTTGTTGTGTTTTTTTTTTTTTTCTTTTTTTTAGCACTGTTTCAGAATTCTTTTGTCCCAGAAAAAAACATTAAATTATTTTTTGCCACTATGTGCATAAATTAGATTCAGAAAAGTTACATTATTGCAGGACAACCTTATAACTTCTCTGGAAAGAAAAAGCAAACAAAGCAAACAAAAACCCAGTACCTCCTAGATATTCTAGAGAGACAAAATCTAGTACACTACTTCTGTATTAATGACATTAATTATGTCACAGGGATGACACATGGGAAACTCAATAATTAAGTAAATCTGAGAAGATGAGCTTTAGTAAAGGAATTGTTAGGTAACACAATTTTCTAAGTGAGAAAAGAGAGAATGTAAGACAATAGGAAGCATACTGGTGGACTTACTGGCCTTGAAGGCAATTTGTTCAATGTATTGCTAATGACCTTTGAGCAAAATGTAGGAAAGTACTCATGCTATGCATTGAGAACGTGAAATTGGGTAATTTTAAGACTATAGGACTGTAGGACCTTGAGAACAGTCACATACTTCCAAGCTTGCTTCTGGTAAAAGATGAGAACATTATCCTGCTGGACATGATGAAGGAAAGAGTTCAATAGCCTGAAAACAAAAAGCCACCACTATGAGGCAGCCATAGGCAAGAGAGAGGAAAGATGCAACTATATCCCATTGGTACCACTAAAGAATCTTCCCTAGAAAATGAGTAATACTCATACCATTACTCTTAGCAACCTCCACACAGCACAGTGCGCGTAATTCTGGCCTACCAGATTCAAGAAAGAGTTGGAACTAGAAAGAGTACAGATGGGAACCAGTACAATGCTGGAAGATTACTAGACTTTACTGCTAAGAATACAGAAAATCTTAGTGCTCTTTAGTCTAGCAAAACAAAAGCCAACAACAGGCAGGATGAGCATCATTTAAATGATGTTCATCCTGTTCATCCATGCACTGAGCATGGAAAAACAGTTATTTCAAAGCACTATGTTAGCACAAAACAAAAAGACTGATTATGGTCTACTTATACCCGTTGTATTAGGAATGCTTTGAAGCAACTTCCCACTTGTTAAGGCGTCAGGGGGATTTTACGTAAGGGATATGTAAGTTTATGAAAGGGATAATATGCTACAACATCTGTTGCATAGTCGAGAGGACTTTCAATTCCTTTCACTCCTTTTCATGAGAGATATAAATACTAAGGGCTTATAGCTGGACTTTAAGACCACCGGTGCCTAATCTCTCTCCCTGGATATCCAAATTCTTTTCCATTACTCATAGCTTGTCTCACTTTTCTTCAGTATCTTAGAGGGCATTTAGAAACTCCTGAAACCAGAAGAATAGGAGGGGAACAAAGTAAATATGTATTGTTAGAAATTAAACTTGAAAAGTTCCCTGTTTATACGTATACAGAAGTAGAATAAAATGAGGTGGTCGGTTTAAGCCTGAGTCATGAAAGCCTGCAGGCAATCCTAAACCGTTATTGACTAAACAGTAGCTTTTGTCAGGTTTTATATGGGAAAAGTAAAAGGGAGCAAGGGGCTGCATAAGGGATTTTAATTGCATCATTCATTTAGTTGAATGATTTTTCATATATGACAGATCTCAACTTCTACAGAAGAAATTTCAGTGCATAGACAAGAGGAGAAAAACCAGTGTCAGATGGAGAGCAACTCCAATTAAGATGTTCACACTAGTGGGAAACTGTAACAGCTGTAGCACACTATGAAGTATCATTCTAATTACATTACTATAAGAACTGTTACCTAATAGAGAAAGTATAAGGTGCATGAAGAGAAGCTAAGAATCCTAATGAAAGCAGAAATGAGATTAAAATTGCAGAGTATTTGATAGCTTGCTCTTCATAGACTACATTATAATGAACCTTGGCATTGCAGTAGGAACTCTTCCAGCCCCACAAGACATTTATCTGCAATTCAAGTTCACTTAGTATTGTGTGAAAAATCAACAGATTAAGAGAGTCTGTACATGATGACTTTTTAATAGATATCACTTATTGAACTATCTGTGCTACGTAATAAGGAACCACTGTCCTTCATGTCACCACTGACCATGTAAGCAGCTTAGGACTGTTTCGTAAAACTGCAAATTATTCAAACCTTTTCTATACTCAATTATTAAATTCCTTCAGATTATTTAATGAATATACATTGTGATGTTTAAAGTAAAGAATTTGTACTATGAGCACAAGAAATTAATAGCAAGATAATAGTGACTTTGAAGAGGACAAGAGTAAAGCTAAGGCATCTAACCTAGTTATACATCTAAAATGAATGAAAGATTTTCTTACTACCTCCAAGGATGTTGCTTAAGTAACTCATGTAACTTTTAAAAAGTCCAACAATTGAAATTCATTAACAAAGGTATTAAAAAAGCAATACTAAGTTAGGGACTAAGTTTACCAAGTGGTCAAACAATAAATTATTTTGAAAGAAAATAAATACACAAAATGTATTAAATGCACCTTTTCTTGGCAACAGCAACCTTCAGTAAACCATTTTTTTTAATCCTATACATAGATGTTCAATAACTGAAAAGAGAAAAAGTATTACAGTTTCTCTTTCAGAGAATAAAAAGAATGATTGAGCTTCTCTCTCTTAATGTATGTACTGCAGAAAAACATAACATTAATGAATGACAACATAGCTTCTGTTTTGTCAAAGAAAAAACATACAAGTATACCAAAGTACAGCTGAAAAAGCAAGTTTAGGCCCCTATGCCCTCAATGCAATTATATGAATTTCTGATTATTCTCACTGGAGCCATAATTATCAAAAGTGAACAGCAAACATTTAGTCTTTGGGGTATTCAGCAGGCACAAAACAAAGCACAGGCAGATATTAGGTGTGTGGAAGCTTGCCTGGCTAGGGGAAAAATGTAGCTATACAAATCTTACATATAGGCAAATTAGGCTCAGCCATAAGGCTGATCAAGCCGGCAAAACCAACTTTTAAAATTAAGGCTATGAAGCATTGGCTTCTAATACTTCTATTGGAAGAAAAATGCATTCTGCCAAGCAGCAACAGAGACAAGTATTCCTCTAACCTGTGCCCTGGTCCTCCTCGATACCTTGCTCCTGGGATCAGAACAGGATCATCATCACTGTCATCAGTTTCTTGGAGAGCTGAGGTTCTGGTAGAACAATCTTCTGGAGTTGCAAGCCCTGAGGATTCTGGGTGTGGCTGAGGTTCATCGTTTGCACTAAGCAAGTTGGCAGTGGATTCAGCACTTTGCTGACTTGAAATTTCTTGATTTGTACTTTTTTCACTTGAAGCTTCCTCCTCCGCAGTTCTGCAGGCAGTCTCAACACTGGGATCATTTTCTTCTGGTTGGATTCCAGGATGCTCAGTGGCAGGTTTATTGGATACAGCTAATGGAAAATATTGGTGAAATGATTACAGCCTATTTTAGAAGTCATTATAAATGGTCATAAAAATTAAATTATGCATATTGAATTTATATTGGAAATTTATTTTTTTCCATTTTCTATGTCCTCACATAACAATATTAGTACATATACATACTTGCTTCTGTTGTCTCTACAGTTTCATCTGTAGTTTTCAGTTCTCCAGCACTTGTGTCTTCCTTGTGAGATTCATCAGGAACTCCTGAGTTAAACAACTTTATATTAAATTGCATGATTTCACTTAGATGCACATCTACCAGTCCTTACAGATGGTACCAGCAGTCCTAGATCAAGCCAATCAAAGCAATGCTCTGCAAGTTCTGTATCTCACTTTACTGCAATCTTAGATATTACTTGCATAAAGTCGGTATATTAAAAAAATAAAGATCTCTTTATATACTTGCTCAGGTCAATACATAAAGAAGAAAGTATTTATTGTGCCTTAATACGCTCGTATCCCACGCAATCAGAATTTAGCTGCAAAACTAGCAATATTACTCTTCAAACAGATGACTGCTTACTGAAAAATATTATTTCTGAAGAAAGAAAATCCCTCTGCTGAAAGCAGATTTTTCTGGAAACTTTTTATTTGACTTGACTGCCCTTTTGGCAACGAAATGAGTGAGACTACCTCACATTCAAGAAAAAATAAGTAGAACCTTACATAACAAAATACACCTGAAAGTTGAGAGGAATGCTGCAAAATACCTAGTATTCACTACAACTATAAACAGCAGCTCTACTATTTTTCAGTACAAATTAGGGCAAAAACATATTTCTAAGAAAAAATAACAAGGGTATCAGAACTAAAACCAGGAAAAGCTCATTTTATTTGCACTTATTTGCATCTCTTTCAGGTCAGACTTGATTTCTCCTTCAAAAAAACAAAAAAAACAAACCACCAAACTCCAACACAGAACAAAAGCACTGTGTTCTATTACGGCTACATTCTGCCTTCATATGCGTGTGTATGAGACTCCCGTTGTATTCGGTGGTAGTCATAGACATATGAGAGCAGAAATTTTACCTTACCATTACAGAAGTAATGCTGAATCTTACTTGTTTCTTCATCTTCAGGTCCTGACTCTTCTGACGTTTTTGTTTTTAAGGAATCTTCTTGGCCTTCAGTTTTGCAATGACTTCCACTCCCTCTAGAGCTTGAATTTGTGCTGCTCCTGGCAGTGTAACACATAAAAAGCAAACGAGCAAAAAATCCACAGAACTTAGAAACTATATAAATTGATAAGAAAATCACTGCAATGCAGTCGGGCATAGAAATACTGAATTCATTGTTCTACAACTTTTTAGGAACTGTGCCCACCGAAAGACTAACTTGCTAAATAATGTAAGAAAAGTTTGGTAGAACCAAGAATTAAAACTTGAGTGCTAACTCTCAGACTACCTTTCCATCAGTGTACACTGCTTTAGTAAAAGCAGTGAGTGCAAATATGATGCTTGGTTTTGATGACAATAGCTGAGTTTCCAACTACACTAGCACTAAAAAAATTTACAGTAAAATATCACACACTGTTACATAAATTCCATGTTGAAGTATGATTGCCTTTCATTTTGAACGTGCTAGCAACTCTAGCCATTTTCAAATTGCATATATACTAATTGGAAAATATATCATATGCAAAAATATTTGCATCTATGCCAGGTCAGTGCTAGTGAAATGTGTCAACAAGAAGTCAGAAGCAAAACTAAATTCTTACCACTCATCAGTGAAGTCCAATTTTATTGTGCTAGTAGTTGTTCCTTCTGTACTGTAGTGCAAACTTAAAACTGGTTCACTCGTTCCTGTTCGTGGCTTATCACTCTCTGTAAATATGAAATTGATAAAGTTTGGATGAGCATCAGCAATATACATAAGGATGCTACATTTCTGAAGATTCATTTATCTTTAAAAAGGTCACATTGTTAAGACATAACATTTAAGATTTGTTACAGCCCAAGCAAACAGTTAAGAACTTCCAGAGGAAACACACCAAATTCACACTTTGCAATGCTTTAAAAATGGCTTAAAATAATTTGTATTTACAAAGAACAAGCAAAGATGCTGTCCTTCATCATGCAGATAAATAAAACTGTCAGCTAGGTACGTGTACACGCAATATGATCCTTCAAGAACAGATCTTTCTCTTATCAATCATCTTAGTAATAAGAACAAAGTAGTTTAGATGTTGTGTTCAGTCCTGTTAGTCTCAGTAAACACGTGAAGAAAGCTGATGAGACCACAGTCAGCGGTCTAGAAATCCACCTTCTCCTTTACTTTTTTGTCTACCTAGAATCCACTCAACTACTAATATCCTTTGATCTGTCATAAATAGTCAAGTAATTGTCATGAAATCACTCTAAGTTCACGTTCTGATAGCTTCAGGCTTGAAAAAAATCTTTCATACTATAATAACCTTAAGCAGAAGGGGAGTCATCGCAAAACAAAGTATTTGTGTCTTCCAAAAGCAACAGACGTCAAATTGAAAACTGCTGTAATCCTGGCAAACTCCTGTTGAATTTGTAGTTTTAAGGCGGTCCAGTGGTCACCTTCAAAATGGAACTGCTCAATAACATCCATCCACCCACACAACCTCCTTGAGAGAAATTCATGGTGACTCTCTACCTACACGCATGGCCCAACTGCCATTAATGCTTAAGTTGGCTACGGGCAATACTAAAAAGTTAAAGCAAAGTAGCATCAAACTAAACCTCACTACACAGGTGGCAATCATTCAAAATTCAGACGGCAGAGTTTGCTTAGTACTAGGCACTGCTCAAATGACCAGTAAAGTAGCCTACATATCTTGCTTTGCTCAAATGCTGTTTGGACAAAAGCATGACAAATTTTCTTCGGTTTATACAGTACAGAAATTTGATCAAAAGAATATTTGCTGTATTGGCAACGGACCAGTACCTAGAATGAAGTAAAAACTTCAGATAATCTTTGGTCAAGCATCAATGAAAATCTAGCATTCAATACAAGCATACAAATTTCCCATGCCAGAATAAAAATGGCTACAATATTGCCACAGGATATTTATGTAAAAAAATGCAATTAAGTTGTAAGAACTATAAAACATAAGAATTTAACCCAGTCATCGATACTTGTCTGTAAACAGTTGACAAGACAGAAACCCACTACAGTATCAGAGCAGAAATCAGTGCTCTGAAGAACTTGAAATATGGATTTCTATATTTCCTGATGACAAACTGAGAAAATAGAGTAAAAAATTATAAAAATGAATTAATCATATATGAGGAGCATCAAAATAAAAGCTTCTAGTTACATTCTCATTAGAGTGAAGCAAAGATCAAACTGTATCTTATAGTGGCATGTATAAATATTCTGACTGAAACTGAACAAAAAATGATGCATCTTTAATTATCAAATTTGTTGCTGTATCTTTTTCTTGCAATCTGTCAGCAAGTATCTCCTGGTGTAAAAATCTGTTCAATGTTTGGGAATTCCTTCCTATGCATGTACAAATACTGATCATTTCAGCATACTGCATAGTTATCAAGTTATCATGAGTTGGCCACTGGGGAAGAGTAAAAGATGACAGAGAATTCATCTTCTTTCTCACAGATACAGATGAGACCTATCTTTGAAAGAGGAAGTGAGACGGAAAGACAGACAGTTTAGTGCCTTGAATAGTCCTAGGCAGCTATCAAACTATTGCAATACTATAACCTGATGCTACTATGCAATATTCACTTCTGCACAAAACAAGTTAACATTTCTGACCAAAGTAACTGAACATCATGAAACTATAATGAATGTAATTGAATGTTTGGATTCTGTTATAAAGCTCAGATCTATCATCATCATAAAGAGTGCTTTAGTGTCCTAAAACATCAGCATCAAGAAACTAAAGCCTTCTGACTGCACTTACTGTGGAGGCAATGCTTGTATTTCATCATACTAAAAGATAGGAAGAACTGCCATAAGCACATCCAAAGAGGGCACTAACTGAGAACTCTGACACAGTTTGACAAACCAACTTGCTCCGAGCCAGCTCACATATCTATAGTGTGGCACTGAACAGTCAGGCACGGACATCACCATAGCAGTGATGTTCCATAAGTGCACGCACTAACTTGCAAATACCTAGAAATATCAGTTTTCAACATGAAGGAAGCAGCAGTAAGATGGCATGGGATGCATGCATCCATTTACACCTCAAAGTTACCAAGCTAGTGCTCTGGCTTCAGGTTCTCTCATCATACCAATTCAAACAGAACCTTAAAGACATAATATTGCCTACATGCTAAAAGAAACATTACAGATATCCTTTATTATTAAAATCACAGTCAAACAAAACATTCTGTATTAATTATTATCATCTATTTGGAAGCTGTTTTGTAAAGAATGGATGGATGTGTATGTTCTGCTGGAATGTAAAAAAAAAAAGGCATTTAAACATGTGTTTCTATAGGCGTAAGTATCAAAAGATCTTTAAACCCAGAAAATGTCTAAAAACATAAATGACAATAACACAGACTGGTCCAAAAGTAAACCAGCTAATTCAGTACTGAATTAAGGAGGAGGAAAAAAAAAAAAAAGAGTAAGAACAACCAAGTATTTCAAATATCAGTATTTGTTACTGATACAACTTCTTCCATTAGCTACTTACACATTTCTGAGGTTTCTATTCAAGTATCAAGTAAAACTAACAGAGTTTAACTCCAAAATTCTCCTCTGAATCTCAGCAAATTGTTTCTTCTGGTTTTCATTTGGATAAGGTAGGTTTCCTAACAAAGATTGATTCCTTTTCCAAATTCTTAGGTAATGAAACTTAAGGCAACAAACAGTGTCTTTCCTGGTGATCCTTACCACCATAAAAGAAAAATGTTACCTTAAAACTTTCCAGATTACTACAGTTATGCAGTTAACAACAGTAATACAAACTAGCTGTCCTGATTGACAAGAAATTTGGGAACTGACTTCTAGGATGAAAACTTCCGCTTTCGTTTTTCTTGTTACGTGGGTTTAATTTACCAGCTTTATTTAATAAACCATTTTATCAACTTTCCAAAAATTTTCTGCTGTATGAATTTCAATAAGCATACAGACTTGTTAATTCTAGCTTACTCTACTACCATTAAATAATGCTTTATTTTGAGTCCATAGAAGAGAGCACAATTTAGTCACTAATAATACGCAAGTCTTCCAGCCTAACCTGAAGGGTGATGTAGACTATTAAACCATGAATAATTAGTAAATGTACATAGTAAGATTTAAGGCTATTTCATCACAAAATGTAGTTCTGCAGCGTGAATTTATTATATCAATAAATCAAACACAGCTTGATTTTTTTCCCCCCAGCATTCTTGGATCCTAACATAAATCAGGTCTCAACGGTTGCCAAATACTGTCTTTCAGAAATGGAATATCAAAATAGCATTCTAGCTTTCAATGCGAAACATGAAACAGCCAGCTCTTTTTTGGCATTTGAGCTACTTAAGCTCTATTGAGGCCTTGATATGGAAGTAAGCTTAATGCAGAGCGTATGGAAATCTATTTTTAAATTACCCTCCATCATTCGTTAATTATTCAGGCATAAAAATTCACAGCAGATGACATTGGTTCAGCTAGAATAGGGTCACCTCCAGCCAAATTCCCTGCTCACTATTCAAAGGCTCTGATGAACAATGGGTGTAGAGAAAGCTCAGAAGCATTCTTTCTATCGCTAGAACTTGAGGCATCTACAAAGAAACACTAGTACTTGCTTAGTAGAAGGAGTAGAGGACAAAAGATTACAGAGGTAAGATACACTTAAATGCAATAGGTGCTCGAGTTACTCAAACTGTGCAAGTACAGAGCTGCATGTATCTTTTGCATAAAATAAAGTCTTTAGCATTACATGATTGCAAGATATTTCAAGTTGACAGCTGCGTTCTGATTCAAGAACAACCATCCAGAAAAACAGAAAAACTATTTAAAGAATTAATTTCATATTTAAAAAAAAACATACTGAATTTCTGTAGAGTACATAAGACATTTACTGTACCTACATTGAATGCATTATGAACTGAGCATAGGATGGCTTTCAAAAACAATTAACCTTACTCTGATCCTGGTATTGAGAATCAAATAATTAACAAGTTTCCAGCAGATCTGCTTACAGAATTCTACATTATGCAGATGAACAGCATTTTAGACTGTTTATCACCACGAAAGGCAATTTTAAAAAGGAAGCATTGCAATCAGCTATGGCTGGGTATAGCGCATTTCCTGTCACGCACCCTGTTGCTCATCAAGTGACATGGATCCAAGCTGTTTGTTAACCACAGAGGAAGGAGAATCTGAAACAAAAATGAGATTTCAACTTAAAACATAAGCAGCAGAGAACTGCACAGCAATGTCACGATCATACGTTAGTTTAAAATAAAAGTATGAAAAGCGGCAACACAAGGAAGCTTTGGGGTTGTTTTATGAGCAGCCAGCCATATTGCATTTTCTAGGCATGAAAGAAGCAAAGCCACTTGTTTCAAATCATTACGTGTTTCTTTAGGTAGTCACTGAACAGCCTGAAGCTTCCTGACACTGATATTAAAAACGCCTGTCCAAAACCAAGGACTTTGCCTTGTTCTTCATTTCTAAAATGTTTCAAAGAACACTGAAGAGTTATGGACTTCTAAAGCCTTCGCTGAAACTATCAAATGACATTAGTACTTCAAACCATGTGGTACACGTAGATTTCAGAGTATTTATACATCAACATGAATACTCGTGGCATACCAGTACCTTCAATACTTGTATCTATGGACATAAATTGTAAAAGATAAGAGGATTTATGAATACAGCAGCATACAGATTGTTTGCATAACATCAAGGCGCCCAAACAGATGCCACTCAGAAAATAGTTCAATAGTCTTGCATTCCTAGATGCTATAAACATCTGAGACATCTGATGACTGAAAATATCTTCATGAGTTTATGACACAGCACCACACCAATCAGTCTTACAAAAACTCTTATCACAGAAAGAAAAAAAACAATAGCAGTAGACAATAAGTTCCACATCTTCTTTGAAGACCATTTCCCTTATAGTCTCTGAAAACCAGATCTTGCTTCCATATTACTGCAAGATGCATGGATGTACACAAATCAGTGCAGTATTTCAAACATAATATTGGTGGCTAGGCTACCGTATGTTGGTTCCACTTGTTAATCTTCCGTTATAAACAAATTCATGCTAAGCAAAATGGATTTAATATCCTGTATTACAAACTGAATTAGTCCACAAACTTCACAGCATGCTAAAAGAACTTCAGCATGAATTTAAACCCTATATGGGAAAGCAAACAAATAGGAGATTTCCTCTTACAGGTGACTCACTCTGAGGTTTGTGCCAGATTCGCACATGACCATCTTCGTAGAACAGCTATAAGACCTGCTAAACTGACAGAGCTGATTTAAAGATGCATCCTCAAAATGATTCCTAATTCTCAACTACCATGCAAGAATCACCAGTTCCTTCGTTACACTGACATCTAGCACTGTGTGGAAGGGGAGAAGGAATGAAGACAACCAGGGGAAATTTAATGCAAGCTCAGTGTGCTTTGGAAGCTGGCTTGTGTCAGTAACCAGGCTTGGACACATTCACTGGGGAATGGAATATAATTCTAAATTTGCCTTCACCCCTTCACCTTTATTCAACCATGCTCATACCTTGCACTGAAAACACCAAAGCCAGATCACATAATTTGTCTTGTAGGCTTAGCTCTTAGGCTTAACACCCGTATCATTAATGTATTTCACTTTCCAAAACTGATGTGTACTTTAAATATAATTTCTAATTTAGAAGATAAGTGTTTACAGCAGAATATTTCCAGCAGAATCACAACCCAATTTTTAAAATGCAAATGTGGGGAAAAAAGCTGGTATAAAGGTACACCATGTCATAAGGCGACCAGCTGACTCAGCACATGAAATGGTATGCATCTCTCAAGGGCAGGCTGGCTTTGAGCATATTCATAGCTATGAGCCCATGGCTGGGATTAACTTCTACCAAAGTGCTAAAGGCAAGGGATCTCTTGTCTTGCAAGCCAAGACGACTAAATCACAGAAGACAGTGATTCTCAGACAAGCTCTGCCCTTGCAGTCTGATTGTTTCTACATGCTTATACGTCCTATGATCTTCTTAATGCTGCCAAACATTATACTTCGCTGAAAAAGCCAATCTCATCAGCTCTTTAATTCAGGCCTAGATGAACAGAAGAAATGCCACTAAACAAACATACTTTAATTATTAGCGTAAGAAATAACACGGGTTGCTCAGGAAGTAATGTCTCCTATTTATTTCCATGAAAACTAGAACAGATACAAGGAGCACAATAACACTGTTCGCTGGATAAAATTTCAGCTACAAACACCATTTTTCAACAGTCACCACCATTAGGTATGTATTTTTACCAGTGATGAAGAAGAGCCTGCATGCTGCACCTGTAAAAACCTGCACCACAAGAGGTCCACCTTTGCTGTCACCACTGCTGTTGCTGTCACCCCTGCTGAAACACACCACCTGCTTCCTCACTGTGCTCTGGTCTCCATCACTGTTCAGCAACTGTCAGTGAATGTCAATGGGCTCCATTTTTACTACACGGTCCAATCCAATGACACACCTTTGCTTCATACACACCTCCACATCAGATACCATGGTGTCAGACTGTCTCCTTCCTGCCATCTGTCACATGGCAACAACACATAACAGAATACTATCAGGAAGGTTCAATCTCTACTGCCATAGCACCAACAACCGTCTTTGACTCTGTGTGTCAACACAATAAAATAGGAGGCAGTGTTTGTGGAGCACTTTGCTACCCCTTCCAGCACTTCCGAATTTTAATAAGACCCCCAGTTATTAAAAAGTAAGTAAACAGTTAACACGTTTTACCACACATATCATTCAATCACAGTAAGTAGAAACAAAAAAAAAATTCTAGACAATACACTCTGCTAATATAGACTTAAATCTCCCACATTTCACTACTATTTTGATAACTTCTTACAGCTCTGTGAATGCATTTTCCTTGGAATATGACCATTGAGAAATGTAAGTGAAATAGAGGAAGCATCCTAAGTAATCCAATTAATATGGTTAAGAGCTCAATACGTAGCAATTCCTAACTCCCTAATTCACTTTTTTCCTTCCTCCCTCAAATCTCTCAAAGCCACAGATCACCAGCCCCCCTTGAAGTGGCACTGCAGCCTAGAACCTTACAGCTCAGGCATGGAAATCAACACGACCAGCCTGGAGAAGTTCAGGTAAATGCCTCTTTTTTTAATATATGGCTTGGTTTTGTAAAAATTCTGAAAATGTACTTTCATCATTTCTCATAAATGTTTTGGAAAAAAAAAAAAAAAAAAAAAAAAAAAGCATTACAAAAACTGTGCCATATAGTTAAAAAAACAAACAAAAATCCAAACTCTTACCTGAGCCTTCACAGGCTGGCTCTACATCCCAGTGCAGTTCACCACTGGTTGTAATGTCACCAGTACATTCTAAACTGGAACACCACTTAAAGAGGGAACTGAAGAGTCATAAATATGGGAAACCTCAAACAGAAAATAGAAGATAATTTTTAAGACAATTACATGCTGAAGGATCTTCCTATAGTTTGGACAGTCAGCACCTGACTTCTTCAAAATATCAGCATGTTGCCTCTGTTGCTTTGGTAAAAAAAAAATAAAAGAATTCCTCTTTATACCACGAACACCAGCACCAGTAAGAAAGCCAGACCTGAAGCAGTGAGACCTGTCTCTGGAGTCCCAAACATAGTAGATAAAATGGACATTAATCCAAGAAGATAAACACTTGTATTAATGATTATGAATAACTGCTCTGTGCAATGATTAAGCTCTCTGTTAAATATTTTGGACTTCAAACAGACATTTCTATATCTGCACATTTAAAAAAAAACATCAAATAATAAAAATGCAGTTTTTATCACTCAGCTACCTAAGATACATGCATACTGACAGCTACAGGAATCTCTAATGCACACTGGGACCTATAGCACCTTTTTTTTTTTTTTTTTTTTTCCTCTTTCACAATCAGATGATTCTTATTTCTTTAACTTCTCATACTGCATTTTATTAGCTTACAAGTTCTAGAAAAGAGAAGTAAAGATCTCTTCAAAGCCTTGCTACAGTTTAAAACCCATTTATGGTGATGTCTACACAGCATATCTGGACTGGGCAGGGCGGCACTCAAAACAGGTTATAGAGGTTTAATTTCTTTGTAGTTTGCATATAGCCTAGTTATGCTTGTTTGAGTACTGTGGAGGACCTAAATGTGAAGAAATACCTCAATAACGTAAGCCAAGGCTAGTAATTTTAAGTAACTGGTAAATTTAAGTAACTGGATAAAGCATGTAAGAGTACATCACAGTTCCCTCTTAGAGCAGCTATCTAAAAAAACCTTTTTCTGTTCAATGTAAAAGACTTGGAAAAGACTTGGACGACAAAACAGGCCTGATACACATAGCACATTCTGCTTCTGCAGCTCTGCCAAGTTTACACAATACTTCATGCCAGGCATCCACTTAAAGTTTCTTTGCCATCTGAGGATGGTGCACCTACCCAAGGTCAGATGGGCCTCTGTGAATCATGACTTAGTTAACTCACTTTTGATCCAACAGCATCCTAAACTTCTGGCCACACTTCTCTAAATATAAGGGCTAATTGCTACAGATAAAGCTTACAAATCTTCATGTAACTACTATAAAACAGTAGGCTAGGATAATTACCACTCAGTCCAATAGCATGACAGGCTCTTCTATTAAACCAGTAAGAGCTTTCAGCTCATGACATTTTCTACTGGAAATTTTATGTGACTCAATTGTTTTTCTTCCTCTATTTCTACAGTTGTAACTGAGTTTCTGTAATTGCAAAGACAAGAACTGAGGATCACATGTGGGGCAGAAGAAAATGTTAGCGTTAGACTGACTTCAGAAGAAAACTGCATGTTTAAATTGCACCTGTGTAGGGACTGTGAACTTGCAGCTCTGGGCCAAACAGAGGCTATGACTTCATTTCAAACAATAGCAGACAAATTTTGGATTTTTTTTTTTTTTTTTTTTTTAAGCTTACAAACTAGTACGTGCCTGAAGACTGAACACGTGCCACAGAACACAGCATTGAGCGCAACTTTGCAGAAGAAGGTAAGAGATTGCACACTGCTACAAAAGAAACACTGCTAGACATGTCACCTTTATATTTACTTCAACACAAAGTAAGCTCATTGTTCACGCAGCATGCAGCTCATTCATTTCTACACGATGCCATGACAGAGTCTGCTTCAAATCTATATGCTGTAGGATTTAACTCTGTATTCATACATTTGTATGCATGATTCTACCCTAACTTACAACTTTCTTGGAAATGTCTCTTTTTATTATAAATATAAGCAGAGCTTTCTTATATTCACTTTTAATCTCAGTAAGATGGAAAAGATGGCGAAAGGAAGTGTCATTCTTCTTTAAAAAGTGCATATCTGGGGACTTGGGCTTGCTAAAAGTATTTGCACTATGTTTACTGTAAAAACACAGCATTGAGGAGTGCTGTTTCTGCTCTACTATATAGTTACCTTGATTTAGAACATATGCTAAACCAAAGCCATCTTACTACCTGATACAACCAACAGCAAGTTGTGCTGTTCAATAACAAGGGTGGAAGCAGATCGCTTGACTCAGGACAAAGCAAGTTCTCTAACAAACTATACACTAGGAAACTTTGCACCTAGGAAACTTTCTCTGTATAGTGGTGTTGCACTATAGAATCCAAACACGTTAGACAAATGAAATCTGTCATTATTACTCTTTCCCTAACCATGTGATGATAAACACCACCACGTGCAAGGTAAGAAAAGCAGCAAATGCAGGAACTCTCTTGTTCTGGAAGTGAAGCGGTCTCAGCAAACAATAGTAGCACAAACTATAACTACGTTAGCTGCTTAAGAAACCTTGACAAATGACAACCTGATGTCTGAGGGTCCTGTGAGGAGCCCTTAGAGGATGACTGATCAGAGGAGGACTGTGGTGCAGAACCCTCAGCTAGCTCTCGCTGTCTCTGTTGTTCTGCCTTCTTAAGCCTCAGGCGCTGTAGACCCCTACGGATTATAGCTAACTCAGGTCCCATTAACTCTGACAAATGGAAGGAGAAAAAAAAAAAAAGTATGTAAAAAAGAAGCATCAAACATACAGTATACAGAAATAAGGGTGGAGTCGGGAACTGACTGAAGAGAGAAGCAATGGATATTATGTGCAATTAAAGGGATAAAAACTTCACAAATCAATCTACCGACAACCTGAAATTACTAAAGAATATATTTAAATTGCTTTTGTCATCTTAAATGCTCAAATCATTGGACTCAGAAGTTAAGAGCTTGTGTCATACATTTCCCTCCCCATCTTAAAACATTTGTCAAAGAATTACTAAAGAAGAAAACAAACAGATCCTGACTGATTCAAAACAAGGGAAATTACAGAAGCATTCAACAAATCGGAACATTTATGGTGTAAAATTTCAAAATCAATGTCATGGCTTTCTGGTGTCAGAAATACACAACACATTTTAATACTGTTTTAGGCAAAACAAACCTGTAAAAAAAGTAAAGTGTGGATCATTGAGAGAGTTGACAGAACAGCATCTAATGAAAAAATAGATTTTATCATGAACTCCATATTTATCTCACATTCCCAATTGGTGAGGATTCAAAGTTTGTAAACATTGTTAATTGGTCCTACAGAGAAAACAATTTATTGGATCATAAATGTTTCTTAGCATCATTCTCTTAACAATCTATCCTTGCAGATCTGTCTTTAGAGACTTTATTGTTTTGATCATTTTGTCTTCACACATTTGTAAGCTACAGCATTTTGGTGTGTACCAGGTCACTGGCTTGCTTAATAGTATTTTTTTTGAAAACTACTATAAAATCAAGTGTACTGAGTACTTTTTCATTCTGTAAACACTCTTTGCAGATTTCCTCCAACTTAAACAAGTGCTGCATAACAAGCACCTCTTTTCATACTATACGGATTGTGTCTTTACTAGCAATAGCTGAAAGCACAACACTGATCTGCTGACTGCTCTCATCCGTAAATACAGGACTAGAAGCTAATTGAGACTCATACAATCACAACAAGTTCTACGGCTTGTTCTGCTAGTTCTGTTATCCTAGATCTATTCTGAAAGCATTTTTATCAAGGACACCCTGCAGTACACTCTGAAGACATGAGGAAATCTGCAATGAAAAAAAACACCATGAAATCTTAAAATATTATGAAAATTACACTGGTACCTCACCTTTCAATATAGCAAAAGCTCTACAAAATATTTTGCAACTCTATTCATTCAACAGAGCAAGCAAATTTTAACTTCTGTTTCATAATAAGAAATAAACCCAAAGTTATAATCTAATCATTCAGCAATTAGTGGTAGGCACTAGTTAATAACCACAGGTCTTACAGTAGAATATCCGAGCACCACTTCTGAAAGTGCATCTTACCAGTTTAGGTTGATAAGGTATAACAAGAAGAAACAAGATACAGTTCTTCAGAGGAATATGGTATTAAGGAGATTTTCTAGGCATAGTTTTCATGTGCAATGAACATTTGTGGAAATTAAAAATCCATAAATACTAGAAAATGTTTTTGAGGAAATAGCAAATATCAAGAGAGTCTAAAATTGCAGTTTTCAGTACTTGCTGTGATTTACTGCCATGCACTTCAGAGATAGCTCCAATTTAAGACATAATGTGAATTCAAACTCAGAATGTAAAGAGATAACTACCATGTTAAAGAGATAACTACTATGTGGAATAAATACAACATCTTTTAAGACATTTCAGAATCTCTAAGCAAATGTTTATATTGCTAGCAAACGGAGTAAGGAAAGAAAAGCTGAACAGAAAAAAAACCACAGTAAGTTAATGTCCCTTTCCCATTCAAAATTTAAAGACAAGGTCACCTTATATCATCAGTATGTTATCTCTTTCTCCTTAATGACCAGCATGAAAGTTTCCGGCAATTATCCTATCGTGTTACAGTAAAATATTTTTCAGATGAATTGAAAGAGCAGGTTACTGAGACATTTCTCACAGATCTTGCTCATTATTTGCACCTTATTCAAACATTTCAGTGGCATTCCTCTAGAATATGCATTCTCTCATGGAGAGTTATCCCAACAAAACCCAGCACTGAACTACTTTTGCATCAACTCATTTTTAAATCAGTACATTTTTTTCCCCTCCAAACATTAAGAGATGAAGAAGAGCACACCTCAAAGGTGAAATGCTCAACACATGGTATATTTTCTGGTACACCATACCAACAACATATTTGAATTACAGTGTATGTATATATACATATATAAAAATATATATATAAAGGTGCAATTTCATGAGTCGGTTTACTACTACAATCTGCACTCAGAATAGAAATCTGTAGAAATGAGTTATGAAAAGCTGCTTAGTAGCCTGTTTTCATGGTATCCTCTTTTTCTAAATAAGTCACTACCCTGCTAACACTTTTGCATTAACATTCAAGCTTCAATCTGCCACAATTTTAAGCAAAGCGACGCCTGAAAGCCTCTCATTTTTGCTCTTCCATTTTTCAAACTTCTTCCTCAGTCATCCAAGTTTTACAAGATGTCTCTACCTGACCTCCCAACTCACCTCTCACTATATTCAAACTACTTTGTCTAACATCACTTCAACCTATTCTGTCACCCCCAAAAAGCAGCAGGTATGTCTAAATGCAGCTGCCCACACCCAGGGAATTCTGTTCTTGATACAGTGTGCAGTGCTTTCATATTCATAAACTAGAGGCAGTGAGTAAATAAACCACCGTGATGGAGCACCATCATGGGTTATTGTAAGAAGATCAACGTTGCAAAAAGAAAATTTATATTCAAGCCCACCCATTCTGAACTCCATTGCTGCTGCTCTGCTATGACCTCTGCCCAGTCAGAGTACTGAATCTGTCCATCCAAAGACTTCTTTTACAACTTAACTGTTTTTAGAAATGTTTACAGATTAGCCAGGATACTTACTAGTCCTGCAAACTATTTGAAGATGACACTTGGCCCTAACTAAAATCTGCATAGAGTGAAAAGAATACCAGATAAGTGGGACTTTCTTGAAGCAGCAGCAGAAGCCCACTGGCACTGTTTAGGTGTAGTCAAAGCACCTATGAAACATTATAGAGTAAGCCAGAAAGTATCCGCTGTCAGTCAACAAAACAAAGCCACTATTATCCCTTTTAAATCTGAATACAGATTCCAAATCAACAATGGGAAAGAGGAAACGTTCTTAAAGAGCTGCACTGAATAACAATTTCAGCTTCATGCTAGCATCATAAACTTTTACTTAGAAATTCAGAGGTTCAGAGTTGTCTCAGGTTCAAAGACAAAGAGGAAGACACTTGTTAAAGGTGCCTTCTTTAAAATGGTAAGATAGAAAACATGTAATTCCAGAAATGTTCTTTACTGAATTTTATTACGCAAACCACAAATTTATCACTGGGGACTAAAAGCCTCCACTACTGATCAAATTTTCCTGCATTTACTCTTTGATATAGTATCCAAATTACACATATTGTATGTTCCTCTCCTCACAGCTTATTTTTTTAAGTAACGTATTAGAATAATGCAAGGTTCAAGTGCTCAGAATAATGTATTTAATGAATTTCAGTGTGTATCTTTAGTTTCTCTATCTTTCAGATAGCAAATACTTCATCAGTTCTCAGCTGTGCCAGAGACTTTGGGAGCAGCAGCGACAGCACACTGATTGATACTTTTTTTCCTGGGAAATTCCCATTTCTTTATTCCACTTTTAAAAAAATAAATAAATAAATCAAATTCTTGTGCAACTCCAAGGGCTGTGGCACCTTTTCCTGCATGCAAAAAGGCAGGTGAAAGCAAAAGGTGCTCTTTTACTTCTGCCCAAAGAAACTTCTGACGCCAACTGTGAAATACATTTTCTTCCCTCAGCACAATAAAGATATAAGACTATTTAAAACACACAAGTTCCAAGATACACAATCTTAAAAAGCAACATGTAGCACAATTTATTAAACAATAATGGAATCTCATGGAAAATAAGCCCTATGTAGACACTCTTAAGAAGCAAAAAATAACATTGCTGACTGACATGTCTACCTCTCCCAAATAAAAACAGGCATAGGTTCTGCTGTTCACTGCACTGACACTGCTACAGCCAAATCACAGTTGAAGGAGGCATGACGTTACTCACATTCCATGAAGAGAACAGTGAATTTGGAGGAGGGAGAGCAGAATAAAAGCAGTATTTTCTTTTTTTCATTTGAAATGACACTAATGTTTATCCCTTTTTTACATTTCCCTCTTCAGACAAATGTATACAGTTGATGTTTTCACTCTTTATTTAAACTGAAAGCTTACCAGTCACTTGGTAACTATAAAATAGTTAGTCTTATTAAGTATCAATAGAAATCAATTACCCACAATATCCTAAAATAAAATGGCTTATCGAATTGTGACAAGATGGATTTCTTCTCACCAGACTGATGGAGCACAGGTTGAGATGAGGCCCCCAGAGAAGGCCTTTGTTCATTATCAGGAGAGGACAATAATGAAGTTGAAGGGGGACTTCCTGCTGAAGATGATGTTGAAGGAGCTTGGGCTGACATCGTAGAAGATGAAGATGATGGAAGTTGTTCAGAACCATCTACTTCCATCGCAGTTTCTGATTCTGTACTAGCTGGCACATTATTACTAGCAGAAGCATCTGTCCGATTAGTCCCACCTTTGATGGAAAAAAAAGGCAAGAGAAACAAAGTCTCAAGGGTAGACTTACTCTGTTTTTACAGAATCTTTTTCATTATTACTCATATGGCATCCATATGCTTAGCTCTTCAACGTGCACTAAAATTTGTAGTTTATACCTCAGAAAGACTGATAATCAAGGCCTTTATATCCATTATAAGCATAATCTCTAGTGTAATTACTACTCTTGGAAAAAAGGAAATAACCTCTGGACCGCGATCTTCCTCGTCCTCGATTACTTTGTGCAACTTCACTAGCTTCTTCAAACCATCTTGACAGCATGTCTGACATCCTCTGCATTAGAGAGACATTAGGACTCTGTTCTCCTGTAAAAACAGCGATGCTTAACATTTTACAAAAGCATTCATTATCCCCCCCATTACTTCTTCACTTAAAAAAAAAAAAAAAAAAAAACCCACAGCAAATTACGTAACTGGTGTTTCCCTGAACCAATGCCACTTTCAGCACCACAGCACAGCAAACTGCCAACTGAACGTGGCATTAAAATATACATATATATATATACATATATATATATATATATATTAATTCTTTCCTCTCATAACTCTCCATTATTCTCTGCTTTACCATTATCTTTTGTAAACACGATATTGTGAACTATATGTCATTCAGTTTCAGATGCTGGTTAGAAAAGAAAGCCCAGATTTTTATGTTTTACCAGCTAATTATAAAATAAGCAATTATATAACAAAAAAAAAAAAAAAAAAAAAAGAAAAGACACGTTTTTAAACATTCCCAGAAAGTTCCTTCATGATTTAGATCTACCTCATGAGGACAGTTAAGTAAAACAGTAGAGTTCTTTTAAGGTTTATATTTTTACATTTTGGATCAAGTTTCAGGATTGCAAAGACACTAAAGCAACAAAATCTTTGCACATGTTCTCTTTAACATAATCCAAAGCATTTTCTTCTCATTTAACTTCTTGTTTTATTACATAGGAAACAAAATTTGTTTCGAGGGAGAAGATTCCATTTGTCAACGGCTGAAATGGAACGCTTGAATCTTTGTGTACTGCATTCTGTTAAGTGTTTTTAATCTATTTATTTCCTTGAATATACTGACATCTCCTAACAAAAAACCATTTCACTGGATGGACCGTTCCACGATACATGTTTGCTCCTTAGCCTCTATGGCAATATGCAAAAGTTTTGTAATCAGTGATCATAGGAAGTGATATCACTGAGAGATGCAATTACTTATCAAGATGCATACACAAAAAATATTTCAGACAAAAGCTGACATTGAAAGATTCTGGAATATATTCAGCAAAAACATGTATGTTGAAAATATGCCTCTTTCAAAGATCAGTTCTGCTACCCGCACAGATGTTATGGAAGCTGAAAGACTGACCAAATATCTGGAGCAATGATATTTGGAGCTGTGAGGGTTGCACATAATTTTCACTGCTCAGATATACCTTGAAAACATAATTAGACATCGCTTTTGTATTATTTGCTTCACAGTTGAGTTTAAGAGATAGTGTTGGGAATAGAGAATGGGAAAAAATCATCCTATATGTAAAAAGCAATGCACCTCAATCTTACCCCAATGTCCACATCTATCCTCATCTCTATACTGTGGGTCTCTGACCTTTGCCTGGGATTCCCCTGCTCCCTTTCTGTACCTCTAGCAGAACAGTTCTGACCTCAAATGTTTAAAACAGAGAATGGAACGCAACAGCTGATAAAAACATGCAGGAGGTGGATAGTGAGGTGAAGAGGGGAATAACAAACAGTTAACAGAAAAATAAGTCACAGGTGACTAGACGCCTGACCAATTCAATTCAACTACTCTCTTGAGCACATCAGTCACTACTCTATCAAATAACACACAGTAAAGATACAGAAGGTTTGCTGTGACAAAAGAAAAATCTAACAGTATCTATACTGGAGGAGTCCTTTTTTTCAAGTTTTACTTTCTCCCTGGAAGATTTACTTGATACAACAGGGAAATGACAACAAGAAGAATGGTGCAGAACATTAACTGATGAAAAAAAAAAAAACAAACCAAACAAACTCAGAAAAGATCTCAGAGAAAAAGCAAAGCAGTAACTAATTTTGACTGGAAACACCTAATATGAGGAGATATACAAACAAGTCTGTAGAATTATGAAAGCACTCAGTGAGCAGAATGCTGCCCTCGATTAACATCAGCCTGACTGAGGAAACTTTTCTGGTGAGAGTATTCACAACGTAGACAGTTTTTGAAACCAGTATAGAACAGCATTACCTGTTCATTTAAAAATAAACACACTTAAGACCTGACTGTTTCTTAAAACACACCAAAAAATGTTATTTGGAGCATTTCCACATTTCAGGAACGCTTAAGAAAAACTGAGAAAAACAAAAGAAACAAACAATCCTTTCCCATCCTGACAATCCCTACCCCACAAGAGCCTACAGATTACCATCTCTCTCCCGTTCACTCTCAGGCCTTGCTCTTGGGCCAGTGTCTGACCAATCCCCTCTTAGCCGCAAACGTTTAACAGGAGGTTGCCGTAACTAGCAAAAAAAGAAGAAGAAGAAAGCTATTATGTAGTCGTTTATATTGAGCTGTACCAAATTTCAAGTTTAAAAATAAACGCTGTATTCCCATTTTCTCAAGATACAAAAAGACTTGTCACACAAAATAAATTTGTATCAGCCATATGCTCAGTCCAACTATGAATAAGCACAACACTGTATCAAAAGGCAGCAATAGTTTTAGCTGTACAGAATTTTATCAGCTTAAATCAATGGCTCTTGGAACTATTACAGCTTCTATTTTACTTGATATTAACTTTACTGTATTAATTGAGGCATTCCATACTGAACAATAAACTCAGCCTGAATTCCACAGAAATATTCAGCCCTTCAGCTAACAATTACATGCAGTCTCATCCTGATGCAATGTAGATTTGTATTCAAGTAAGGAGGAAAAAAAAAAAAAAAAAAAAAAATCATTCAGTCACTGTCAAAGAAATGTTATGAAAAAACTTCAAGCTATCCTGTAATTTTTAATCTTTTTAATTAAAAAAAATTGTGACAAATAGTACAAGAAGAGTACTATGCAGTTAGTGCTACTTCTGCAAGCATGAAAAGAAACAGCCAGAGAGATTTGTACATTCAAAAAGGCAGTTCAGACTTGGGAATTAAGCATGTTGGTTGGCTATTTATGGTTTATAAAAACAAAACCAAACAACAACAAGTAACAACAGCAGTGACCAGTTGTGCTGTCAATTTGAGATTAAATGCAAAACCTCTGAAAGTAAATTAAAGCATTAACGTTCAGGAGCCAGCAGATTTGGGAAGAAAGCTTCATATTCTTTCTGCTCTGCAGAACTTAATGCAAGACTGAAAGAAAAATACCATTTAAATTAAATTATCTAACAAAATGAAATTGCAGAACATATTCTGAGCATACAGAAGAATATTTAGGATCTGCTATTAATAAGTAGTCACAATCTTCCCTCTCTGTAGAAAAGCAGGCAATCAATTCTCCACCTTACATTAGATTGCAATTACATAGGAAAAAGAAAGATGAGAAACCATTTATTTGCGGCATCATTTCTCTGAGTTTCTCTCTGCATTCCTCTGTCTCAATCAGGTAACAGTTTAACTCAGCTGGACGTTCTTCCTCAATCCTACAACTCTCTATCCAAAACAATATTTGCAAAAAAGAACCAATCATCCAGAGGGAATGGGCTTAGATGGAGAATTCAGAAGCATGGGCATGGCGTGAGGGCAGAGATGTTGTAAGTACGGACACAGGAGGACAACACCTTCTCAGCAGCTCAGCAGTGGTACTTCACTGCCCTGCAAAGGTTGGGCCTTAACTACAAGGGTAAATAGAAGGACTAAAAACAAGCATATGGAAGTGAATGGCATGCCATATTGGCAGACCAATAGTTCTCCGGTCAGTGAAGACATCAGGGGGCTGAGAACTCATTGCAAATTCCCTTAAGAGCCCTGTCTCAGGCTTAAGATACAGACTTCTGGACCCCAAGGATTTTATGAAAGAGGGAATGTAAAGCCAGAAAAATGGAGTGGATGGTTGGGGTTGGGTGCAGGAGGAGGGTGAGAGAAATATAATTAATGGTAGTTAAAGAGATTTGCTTTAAATTGATCAGAAAAGTTAGACTAGGAGGGTCAGCATCACTGTAACTGAACAGATAATAAACAATTGTGTTTTGGTTATGCTGCAGAGTCCATTAGTTTTGCTCTGTTGTTGTGGTGGATCATCTCTCTGGTCTACATGCTCTGTATCCCCTTATTTCTGCCCTTAAATGATAACTTCTATCAAAGTGTTTATATTCGACGTCAAGGAATTTGCTTTTGGTGGTGAGGAAAATAACAGAGAATACACCTCGATTACTTGCCAACATTGCTAGTTTTATATCCTGATATCACATAAATGCCTTCTCATTGTTAAAAGAGGGAAAAAAGTCAAGAATGAAAATCAGAGTGATAAAATATATTAAGAATACCATTCTCAAAATAAAAGTCAACATGTAGTACACAGTCAGCTTCGTAAGACAGATGAGAGAAATAAAAAGCTAAATTTGTGCCTCTGTCTACAGAGTATGCAAATTTTGTCACACAATTTGACAGTCACATCTCAATCTAGGAGCAACATCTATCTTCAACTTCAGTCTACTACAGAAAACAGAAGGAAAAAGCTTATTTTCCATTTCACACATGTGGCAAATGGTACATTCTGCTTTCAACTATTAGTTACTCTCTGCTTTAGTCCTCAACTCTACATCCTATTGTAAAAATACTTTAACTGGTTTCATAAAAATCTGTTCGAACAATTGCACTTTGTAATTTCATTGATATTTCAAAAAGCATTTTGGCTAAACTTTTCAAATCTCAGAATGTATCTTGAATTTTATATAGTTCTATAAAATTCTGCTGTTTAATACGACTGAATGATATGGGTACGACAATAACTAAGATCAAGATCCTTGTCCACGAGTATTAAGTTAAAGAGCTCTGTGTCAAAAGCCCTATCATATAACTCCTCTTCCAGTATTTGTCAGAGCTTAAATTTCTCTATGAGCTAGGAAAAGCAAAGTTTCCATCAAAATTTCTCCAATTTCCTACATTACTGGTACCCACAGGTACACAGTGATCATGGTGAAAATGCTAAATTATCATCAAAATAAAGGTAAGAAATGATCTGTGATTCTCATTTCAACACAGGTACTCCAAATTCTCATCAGCCCTGAAAAGTGGCAACAATTTTTTTTTATGAAAGCAAAACACTCCAAAGTTTCAGGTGCAAAAAAGTATTGCCAGATAATCGGAATCCACAAGATAAATTTCTCTGAACGTATCTCCTATCTTGTACGTCTGGATTTAGTTACAGACAAATTACTGCTAACTATGAATCTCTGTGGCACTGGCTTATTTCTGATGTCAAACTGGGAGAAACAGAAAGATGGTGATTTTACATGTGTCCTTCTAGAAACAGCTTATTTTATGAATGGTCAGGGTATCAAGTTCCATTAATATCAGCCTATGCTGAACTTCCCATATAAGGGAAGCAGAATATTTGCCTTTCTCCGGCAAAACCAAGACCTGCTTATTCCTCAAAGTTTCCTTACCAAAATATAGAAGACCCAAAAAAACTAAAACCACAAAATCCCATACCCCCAACACCAGTACTGTAGATACTCTAAAACTATTTTGAAAACAGTGTTTGAGAATCAAATGATGGCTCAAGATTCATTTCAAGGCACGTACAACTGGTAGGATTGACCTGGGGATGGGGAAGAGAAGACATGAAAACAGGTCATCTTAATCACTTGCCTCTTCTCGTCTCTCCTCAGAGGAAGGAACTTTAAGTTCTCGTGCTGTATCATCCTTGGGATCAAACAAGTATATGTAGTCTGAAGAGTAGCTAACAAGGATCTCTTGACCATCTTCACTATAACATAGAGACGTTACTCGGCAAGATTTGTTATTGAGATGAGGAGGAACAAAACGTGCCACCATCCCAATAGTGCCCCTACCAGCATAATTCCCTGTGTGAATGAGAAGAATGAGAAAGAATACATTCACCATTGCAAATTTTCTACAAGTAATTTCAATATACTCCTTAGTTAACATCCAAAGATGATCAGAGAATAGCTAAGCAACCTGCAGTTTTTGTATTAAATTGGTTCTGAGTAATGACAAATCAGATCTTCTGGTGTACAAAAAAAAGCCAAACTGATTTGAACGTTATAGAAAAAGATGAAAGCATACAGACAAACATATGTCATGTATCAACCACATGATGGTATGTGGATACCATCTGTAATGTTTAGTATAGATGGAAATTTAGGAACCGAAGATAATAATAATAATAATGCAATTACATACATTATAACTATATATATATATATATATATACATATATAAAAACAATAATAATGCAATTATGTACCACCACACAAATTTGCAAGGAAGTCATCCTATAGAACTTGGAAAATTTAAGGATATCTTCTCTTTACTTTCTAAAGGATCTAAAAAAATACCAGTTTTTCCTTCTTTGAGACATGATACTGTCACTTTGAGACTGCAGAACTACACAATACATTGGGTTTACATGATAACCAACCTCCATTCTACGTGCTAAAACAATCTTCAATTCCAGTATTACAAACTTGTGAGCAGACGAAAATTACCTATAGGACAGCTTAACAGAGAAAAACAGATTGTTCCAAAAACCTATCATATGCCACATAACTGCAAGGCATATCTGCTTTGGATTAGCACATGGAAAAGCATGTGCAAATTCAGAGTTTGCCATCTCAATGCATAAGGAATAAAGCTGAAAGTTTAGAATAAAAAAAACTAGTTTGCTCACTAGCAGCTATCATGAAATACCTCACTCTCAAAACAAATTAAAAAAATACAATAGCAAAATGCTATATCAATAAGTCCAGAAAATCTACAGTCTTCGAATAGGCTTGCATACCTGAATTCATCTTCTTGTTGTACTGTAATAGGGGCAGGTGTAAAAACGAAAAAGCAGTGGTGTTTTTGTATTGTTTTTGTTGGGTATCTTTTTGTTTTTAAACAAAACTTCTGGGGAAAAGCAGAACCTAACATTTACATTCTACATTTCAATCAGCCTCCCCAGAATCTGTTCCTCAGGCAGTTCTCAAGAACATTGAGATATAATACGAGGGAGAAATCTTATGAAAACATTAGCCTGATGCTGTTTTTTTCTCCTCCGTTACAACAATCAACAGGAAATGCTGCAAAAATGTCACTATGACACTGATTACCTTTATGAATGTGTATACACAGGTATGTATATTAATTTCCACATAAGCTTAAATGTACAGTCATCATGCACTACAAGGAAGAGATACGTTAGTACTACATACTCACTGTAACATATCACTTCATTTTTTTTTTAATAAAATCCTTAGTTAGCATCTAAAGACTGCCAACTCCTAACTGTACAATTTGTAACTTTTCAGAAAAATTATATTAGATATAGCAACGACTTCTGCAAAGCTAAAGAGATTGTATGACATTATAGACTATATAAGATCCTTTCCAGTAAGAAGCTTCCTTATTTGAAGATTTCTATAATTAGCAAATATTAAAGTGAAATGACTCCATTACTGAAAAGCATAGTTCTCAGAGAAGAAAGCTCCACTTCATTCAATATTACATTTCAGCCATTCACCATTTATTTTTGGGGAAAAAAAAAAAAAAAAAAAAAAAAAAAGAACCTGAAATTAAAATTGCTCATAGAGAAGCTTACTATAAAGCATGGTTCTCACCTGTTGCTCTTGTACCAAGCATTCGTCGATCATATATTCTTACTGAGCTATCAGAACAACCCACAGCAAGATAGTACGGGATTGGTGGACAGATAGCAACAGAAGTGGCAGCACGACGACAGTTTATTAAAATATCCTGCACCAAAAGAAAACAAACCCACCATTCAAACAAGAGCTCTGAGCATCTGAAATATAATTTTATTTTTTACTTTAGGATGCAGGCCCATTCATCAAGGAGTAATTCAGAAAGTCAGGTCTGGCCCTGTGAAGACAGGCTGAAAATATGCCAAACAGAAAACCCACTGCAGAGAAGGAAAGCTATCACAGAAATAGATACATCGTGAGATTAAATGAAAGAGAAAAACAAACAAAACAAAGCAAACTAACACAGGACAAATCACAGCAACAAACATTTGAGAAAAGATAAGCATAACAAATACAGATTTATAAACTAGCTTGCACATTGTATTTTCCTATGCAAACATAGGTAACTGCATTTAGTTGGAAAAATACCAAATACGTCAAAACATAATTAGAGTGGATTTCATCTACAGGCAGATAATTGGATAGATTTTAATAGGACAAGGGACCAATGAAATTCCTAAAACTCAGACGTGCAACAGAATTAATCAAGAGCTGTAATCTGGTGTCAGTTTTTTCTTCAATTCAATAATGTTTCTGAATTCCAAACAGTGGAAACAACTAGTATCTTACCTTCTGGGGAATAGTACCATTGACTAATTTGATCTAGTATAAAGTCATTATGAAATCTTTTCTTATGGTGGGACAAAAGATGGCCAAAAACACGAAAGTGCAGCTGATTTTCATCAATAATATTTGCCTCCAACTGCACACTCCACAGTAACTAATGTAAACCAAGCAAATAGATTCAGTTTCAAGGCAGAACCTTTTCTACAGCATCTGAATCATCACACCACGAAAGCTCCTAAAGTGATATCACAATTTAGAAAAAGGGGGATAAAAAAAGAAGAAAAAAAAAAAAAAAAGGAGAAAAAAAAGAGGAATGCTTGAACTTTTTTTTAATGTTTCTTGGGAAAAATGTTGTCATCTCCACCAACGACCCTGAAATCTATTATTTCTAAAAGCCTTACCAGAATTCAAATCCTATGTTTGTATGATGTACAGCTCTACATTTAGGTCATCTTTATTAAAAGATTTCACTCTTACATCTTTACAATCTTCCTTTGTGCAACTTGTTTTGATTCGAGTATCAAACCATCGTACAGTGCCATCTTCACCACAAGAGAGGAAAGTATAGGGATCATTTGGTACTGTCATAATCTGCCCAGCGGAGGGAAAAAAAAAAAAAAGAGCATTAACAATTTGAAAATAAAAGCAGCATCAACATTTTGAGCAACAGTAAAGCCTGATCCACTAATGACTCACATTAAGCCTTCTACCAAGACAATGAAGAAAACTTCATTAATATTTACTGAAAATGAAGAAACATCAAAAGTCTGAGCTACAGAAATTAAAACAAATTTTGTGGTATGGGACAAACAGAAAACACATGTAGAAATAATTATAAGATCTGACCTATTATTTTGTAATAAGCAACATATATCAATTTGCTACAATAACTCAATGGAAGCCGAGTTTATTTTCTATGAAGTATAAGAAGGCAATAAAAACCAAAATCCTCCAAGTCTGAATAACACGAGTCTGCTAATAGCTTTTATTCCCACTGCATTATTTGTACTCGAAACAGTCCCTTGAAGAAACTATGAGTAAAAGACTGTTACTAACCTACTCTCACTTTATTTTTCTACTTTCTAAGAGAGCACTGTATGCACCATTATATTGATCTCTCAAACTAGGAAAGACTCAGATGGCATCTTATGTGTGGTTTCATTCAGGAAGCCCTCCTTAAGACAAAATAAAAACATCACATTAAAGCTGAATTCCACAGGTGGATGAACACACAAGAAGTGACATGATTCTATATGCCATCCCCTAAATACAAAACAGAGGATATTTTAGAAATTGGTGGTGTCTTTATTTATTTGCAATACAGCTATCAGTAACTTAACAGAAATTTACAGAGCTACAAAAATCAGTAATTGTGTAATACGCTAATTGAACATAAGCACAAGATTGATTCTTCAACACTTTTTATACAATGGTTTTTTGTCAAACTCTTAATGACAGTAGATATCTGTAAATCTCACTACCTAAAGTGAGATTACAAAGGTAATCTCTGCAGGATTCACCAATTTTTCACATAACACTCAGTATATTACCTAAAAAAATATGTATGCTCTGCCAATTTTCACTGACAACAAATAAGAAATTAAACAAGGAGAACAAAGTTAACGTTTAAATACCAATGGAATAATAAAATTCTGAGCCACGACTATGATTCTTGCATATGTTAGTGTACTGCATTGAAAAGAGCATTTTTTCACTACACATTTACTCAAATTGATAACTTTATTAGTGGAGTTATTTAAGCCCACTAAATCTTTTCAGCATTTACCTGCGTTGTGGTGGAAAACTTGCAATGAAAACATCTACTTTGTCTCAAGTATTACACTGAATATAGTATAGCAAATAAAATTCAGACTTCTAGCCATGTTTTATGTTTGTTCCTGATTATACCATTTCACAGTACAAATGTAAAAGCAAGTTACATACCAACACTTGGATATGCCCATTTTTATGTGTGGTGCTTATGAACATATAGCAAATTCATAAACATTAAAATAAAGAAACACAGAGGTACATACCCCAATAATAAAGAGTTGTTGATAATAGATTTAAGCTCAAACAACATATTTGAGTTCAAACATTATATAAAAGCATTTTGTCCTGTCAATCCCGTGTATTCAAAAAAAAACAAAACACATAGTGATGTGATAATTTTACTATTTTGAGAATGTCAAGGTAAGAAAAGAAAAGTTGGAACTTGATCTTTAAAATCCCTTCCAACTAGAGCCATTCTATGAATTATTCTGCAATTCTATGGAAGAGCTGTACATTCTTCTCCTATGATGCAATTAACATGAGCAGTAATAAAGCATTTGGCTGAATAAAAATGAACTTGCAATAGCATTTTATAAACAAATTTTCCTACTTACTCTCTTACTCTTTAAGTTCTCCCCAGACTTAAAAATTGTAGACAATTATCTTGCAGTTCATAATGATCTAAACAAATTTCTACATTATTCTTTTTCATTGTTTTTGTACTGCCTGAAACAGTCACAATTTTCAACTTTTAAGTGCAGTATAAATCCAAAATGCATTCAAATTTATAATTAGTACCTCCAGGCCAAATTACGTTAGCTTTTGTTATCTAGAGAATCTGATGAGTCAAAGTTCTATATTTAATACAATGATGTGGTGATATACAGCTGGGTAGTAATATCACAAAATTTTACGTGACTTTCCCACTCCAGAAAACTCTCAGTGATTAAGTTGTATTACACCAGAAGCTGAGGCCACCTCTGAGTCATTTGCTTACTGCATTATACTTCTATACAGCAAGGCCCAAACAAAAAAGGTCTGCTATGCCCAAACAGGCTTTTAATGCTCAAATATCAAACAGATTTAAGAAAGTAACAGAATTTAAAGCCTGAAAAAAATATTTTCTAAACCTACACATCAAAGACTTTTAAAAGATAATTATCAACTTTTTGATATGTAAAATCTCAGTGCAAAACACGCTAAAGAAAAGACATTTTTAAAACAGTCAATGTTGTAATGGGGACTGGGAAATAGCTTCCATTAATGATATTTTAAAATAACAAAAATAGTATTGGATGTCATCATTCAAAACAACAGTAACGCCCTCTTTTAAACATTATTTGCTGAATAAAACTAATCTCCAATACTACCATTTTGTGTGTGCAATACAGCAGTCAAATGGCCATACTCTCTTCAACTAACGAAGCTGAGCTGTACTCCATACAAACAGACATTATTTAAACATAAGACGACTATGTGGTAAATAGTAAATCTTTCGTTTTGATTTGCTGGTCTGTTGGGCAGTCCTTATTTCTTCTAAACTGTTTTTAAATCTTTCTTTTTTGTCTGTTTTGTGGAGTTCAATTTTTTTTTTTTCTTATTAAATTAATATTTGCCTTTGCCATCAGGTCTAATAGTTGGAAAAACACACACCATTGCTACTGCTGACAAACAATATCTTCCAAGAATTGATCAGCATCTTACAGTAGAAATTATAAGTGCTATGTTGTAGCCTCTGTTGACCCTTCTGACCCACAAGGTCAACTGGCAACTGCTTTCACTGAACTTTATCAGTTCAACCATTTTTTAACAGCAACACCTGTTGACAGTCATTGCAGTGTAATCAACCAAATTGTTGGCCTACCCAAGTTCAAGCAAGTCAAAACTGTGACTTCTAGTAATTGTACTGTCATCAAAATTTTCATTTACTGCACTCATAGCAGCTGACCACAAGACCCTACCTAAACTTCAGGCATACAGACTCACTGCTCTAATGACGGACAGGTCTCCTCAGCCCAGAGTCCATAATCATTCCCCTATTCTCATATTCCAAACATTTTTGTGCTTAAAAAAAAAAAAAATAATAAAAAAAAAAATAAAAAAACCTCACAGCTAGCTACCCAGGAAACAGAAACCATCCGAGCCACAGACTGGCTGCTCCTTACATCCATGGCCAGCCATCAAGCAGGTCCTTACTTCGCCAAGAGGTCAGAATGCTGACCTTGACAGACCCCATCCTCAACCGAGGACATTTCAGCTCTAAGAAACAGCATCACTGCCTCCAGATGTTCTTTACCAAAAGGCAGGGTTTATCTGAGGTACAGAGAACATCCAATCAAGTTGCAGAATCCTCACACTAACACACAGACTACTATATATAGTAAGCTCCGGTGGCAACTGAGGCAGTTTAAGCTTCTGGCTGAAGGCCACAGGACTGCTGCTTTTCAAAGGGAACAGTAGTTTCTCAGCAAAAGCAAACTCAAAACTAAAAGAGGAAATGCAGGTCTGGGAGCCTGAAGAACATTTTCCAAAACTGAAAATTAGACTACAGCCTTGAGTTAAATGCAGGAAAAACAACCATATGACAAAATACAACAGATAAACAAACCACAATCCCATAAACGTCTACAGAGTCAATAGTGCCAGGTTTGCTCGACTGTCTGACCTACAAGGCTACCAGCAGACAAAATGTTTTTGTCAAATCCTTTAACTGAATATATCATAACTGTAAGGATACTTCTACTATGTGATCGAAAATGAATTCTCACACAATCTTTCCACACACCTCAAATTCGGTCAGTCTTAACAGATGTAAATCAGATTTTAAAATGTCAAGATTTTTAAATAGTTCATTCATTTTAAAGGCAAAGAAAATTTGTTACAAAATCTCAGCCAAATAATTACAAAAGCGATGGATTCGAGGTTTTTTTTCTTTCGTATGTTATACTTTTAACCTAAGAAGAAAATAGTATAAATTGTCCCATTTTAAAACAATTAAGCTTTACAAGTAACAGACTTTGTAATCATTAAAGTAAATATGCAAATTCAGATCATCTTCCTAAACTACGCAGCACTTCCCTTCTCCGCTTGCCTACTTATATAAACACGACAGACTTTCACGAGAGGATTGAAACACTGGGTCTAAATTTACATATCATCAGTTAACCACAATACAAAACATAGAAATTACCTAAAACTTTAAGTACATTTTTCAGATAAAATTATTCACAAATGCTTAAGTAAGAATTTCTTAGGATTTAAATTGTGAAAAAGCACTGGAAATATTTTTATTGCTCCACCCATCTCCCCCCCAGATAAAATCAAGAGGTACAGCATAGCCACCAACTCCTCCTCTGTCAATTCAGAAGGAAATTCACAGCACAGTTTAAACCATTTTTGCTGCAGATTATGGCTTTCATGAACGTTTATTTAGCTATTTTATTTTCAAAGAAAGCAGTCTTAACTACATTCACTTTTGGGAAATTTTTCAAACAATCTGTTTTTCTTCTAAAGCCTACTCTGTAAGAAAAATAATCAGAAATTGCAGAAGGAAGATTCTTTAATTCTCACTTTCATCATCTAGTTAATACCTTGCACAAAAACACATGAAAATATGTACTCTATCTTAAAATCATCATATGCTTTTGTGTGTTACCTCATAGGTGGTTCCATAGTGGCACGTGTACTGGCATTGTCTGTTGGTCTCTGCATCCTGTTCAACATTAGTATAAAAGATGACCCCATCACCGGAACAAGATACAATCTGTTTGTCATTGGTGCATGGCAGGAATTTTGCACTAAAAATATTAGCCCGGTGTCCTGAGCGAATGGTTGTTAAAACCTACAAGAGAAAAAGAAACCTGCATCAGGTTAATAATTTCAAAGCAAATAATACATTTCAAAGAAAAAAAATACATGTAGGTACTATAAAAGATCACTCAAGTACAGGCTGCTGGCGATGCACAGTTTAATCCCAACAGAAAAGAGAAGCTGCCTTTGCACCACATTTCTTCTAAGAACTAATTGGTTCCACACTGACCTTTGTACTTACCTAAAGTAGTTTGCAAAATGAAAGTTATGAAATGCAACTGACACCTTTTGTTTTTAAAATGCTAGGTAAACATAATCACATCAGGTTTCTCAAAGGAAACCATTTGTCTGGGATGATAATACAGCCAGCCTGCATGCCAGTGACTGATTTAAAAGATATGGAAGAGTGTGGGTAGAGCAGCATTCTAATCCAAGTCAGCTTTATACACTTAAAGAAAAATGATGCTACATGTACAATAAACACACTTTAAAAGAACTGAAGTTTGTAAAAAAGGATATTTTGAAGCCAGTCAAATAAAAGTTGAAGAACACAACCACTGGGCAGAAAAATAGTTTAGGAATTGAATTCAGTCTCAACAAATGCCTTTCACTTTACAATACAGTAGAGAAGCATATACTTTATTGCGCCCTCCCAACTGGTTTTAAACACTTTGTGATGACTCTTTTTTATTTACTAACATACTTTTGATTAGTCTATTAAAACTGAAATAAAAATCCTCGATATACCTTCCTGTGCACTGGTGAAAATTCTACACTTCAGTCCATTTTCCTGCCTGTACATTAAATGCATTTTCACCACCACCTATGGGAAAATGAGATCTACAAAGCTGTTTGCAGTATTAAAATGCCTTCAAAATTTCTACTCAATTAACTTGATCAAATAAAACATTTTGCAAACTAAGCTGCTCTGCCAGTAGTAACCGATGCATAGTATTTTACAACATTCCACTTTCAAACAGTTTACAAAAAAAATTTAAAGGGTATTCAAAGCCTCATACTGGAAGAAAAATAATAATAATTAACCAGAGGAGAACACATTCACTTTATTTCAATAAATCTGTCTATTAATTTAGACTTGTCCACATTTTCAAATCTTCAAAACCCAGATATTCAATTAAATGAAAAACTCATTTCAAAGGAATAACTCAGAACAAGAAGTCCACAGGGTACTCTAGTTCAGCTAATAGTTAAAAATGTATCATCTAACAAATACATATTTGATTTTAGCTGTTGTTACTATGAATTAAGTCACTGAACAGCTTGCAATGGAAGATCATCTAGCTTCAATTCTCCGCTGCCACCCACCAGCCCAGGTTGCCCAGGGTTCCATCCAACCCAAACCTGCACACCTCCAGAGCAGGGGCACCCACAGCTCCTCTGAGCAGCCTATGCCAGTGCCTCACCGCCCTCTGAGTAAAAAGTTTCCTTCCAACAACTAATATAAATCTCCCTCCTTCTAGTTTAAACAAATTCTCCATTGTCCTATCATGATCAGACTGTAAAAGTTGGTCCCTTTCCTGCTAATAAGGTTCCTTCAATTAGTGGAGGGCTACAATGAGGTCTCCCTGCCTTCTCTTCTCCAAGCTAAACAAGCCAACTCCCTCAGGCACTCTTCAAAAGAAATGGTACAGCTCTCTGATCATCTTTGTGGCCTTCCTCTGGACCTGCTCCAACAGCTCCATGTCTTTCTTGCTGGAGGCCCCAGGTCTGGATACAGTAGGGTTAGGGTGGGTTAGGTGGAGCCTTACAAGGGCAGAGCAGACGACAATTACCTCCCTTGCTCTGCTGGCCACTCCTCTTTTGCTGCAGCCTGTGATACTGTAGGCCTGGGCTGCAAGAGCACACTGCTGGCTCATGTCCAGCTTTTTTTCCCCATCAAGATTCTCAAGTCCTTTTCCTGAGAGCTGCTCTCAAAGCTGATTCCACCGTCCATACTGCTGATGTCAGTGTTGAAGACAGGACCAAGTCAAACCCCTGGGGAACACCACCCATCACCAGCCTCCACCTGGACACAGAATCATTGACCACAACCCTCTGGTTGTGATCATCCAATGAATCACAGAATCATGGTGATTGGAAGGGACTTCTGGAGATCATCTAGTCCTAATCCCCTACTGAAGCAATTCCTCATCCACCAAATAGTCCACTCTTCAAATCCATCTCTCTTCGATTTAGACACAAGGACATGGTACTGAATCATGTCAAAGGCCTTGCACAAGCCCAGGCAGACAACATCAGTTTCCCCTTCCTTTGTCCACCAAGCCATCACTCCGTCATAGAAGGCTACCAAATGTGTCAGGCACAACCAATCCTTGATGAAGCTGTGCTGGCTAGTCTTGGATCACCTCCTCATCTTGCAAGTGCTTTTCATATCTCTTCCAAGAGGATTCGCTCCACAAGCTTTCAGGCACAAATGTGAGGCTCAATGGCCTGTAGTTCTTTGGGTCTCCCTTTCTTGTAAATGGGAGTGATGCTTCCATTTTTCCAGTCACTGAGGACTTTGCCTGACAGCCACAACTTCTCAAATATGATGGAGAGTGGCTTGGCAATCACATCAGCCAGTTCACTGAGGACCGCGGGATGCAAAGCCATCTGGTCCCACAGATTAGTATATGTTCAGCCTCATGAGGCAGTCTCTGACTTGCTCCTCTATTACAATGAGAGGGATTTTGCTCCTCCAGCTCCTGCCTGCCAGCCCCCAGCAGGCAGCAAATTTCTCCAGAGAGATTATTTGGAAAGCAAATGGGTGCCACTGTGCCTCTCAGTACGGAGTCCCCAGACATTAAGACTGTTAGCCTTTTTTGAGCAGCACTACTTACGACTTGAGAACCTGACTGGCCATCTCAATGTGGTTGATCTTTTCTAGTTCTGAACCATTAACCACATCCTCTTCTTTCCATCTCCAGAGCTTCCCATTGATTAGGGGGATTTCAGAAGGAACAGGGAGGTTCCTCCTTCTTCTCTGATCAGAGATGAGGATCCAGCCCCCCTTGTCTTGCATATTTTTGCAGTCTGTCTCCTTAGGGTTGGAAGCTTGCTTAGCTTCTTCCTCTTGTACAGATTTAGGACAGGACTGTCAGTTTGCCCATGTCATTGCATGATACCACTGATTGCTGGATACTTCTCAGACTGGTGATTTTCTCTCACAACCTAGCCACCTACCCAAAACATTCATCAATCTGGGTACAATTGCGCCCATGACACCCCTCTCTCTTCCTCCTGCCTCCCCTCCACTTCACTTCCCTCAGGCCCTTAGTGGACTTTCAGATGCTGGAGTTTCCTTCAGCTGTAGGTCTAGGCAGCTCTGACATCACTGGGTAGTCTGTCTGGGTGCACGTGTTAGCCCAGAAATGTTGTAGCCCCCCCATCAGAGTTTCTGCCTCAGCCCAACCATTGTGGTGGATGGTCACCATGTTTGTTTCAATAGAGTGCTGCACCCTGGTGCACCAGATGAGAATAAAATGGCTCATTTTGTGCCCTCTGCCATCCCTCAGTTCCCTGGCCTTATTACACAATGTAGCAATAAAGAGCATTAAAGTATTACAGCATTTATTACCTGCAGAAGATTTTCTATGCCCTTCTAGACTTGCTCTGTACATCCTTTCTCACATAATAACCGAAACAGAAATTTAACACACATGGACAATCTCTCACAGCCTATCATTAGCTACACAGAGTAAAACAACACTACCACCTCACTCCACTTACTCTACTCAACATTTTATTACTGTCATGCAATAGGCTATACTGACAGTAACCGAATAAAAACAGAGGGAAGAGACAATTTCAAACATTTTTCGAACTAGATATAGTTGGAAAAGTTGATATAGTTGGTTAGATATAACGACTCAGATATTTTCACAACTTCTGCATTTCCTTAAGTAACACATGACACAGAAAATCAATTAAAGAGGCAAAAAATTAAAGATTTCAAATTGCAGTTCTTAAGTGCTCATATTATATCTTTGGAACAGGATTACTTATTCACACAGCAATCCTGAAGAATTTATCTCCATCTCTAACGATACATATTTTCCTCCAGGAAACAGTACACAAAATAAGCACACACACTGTGGAAAAGGAAAACAAAGAGGTATAAAACTATTATTATTTGCACATTTTTTAATTTTTTTTTTTTGCCACATCTCTGTTTGACATCCTGCTTATAAAAGCTGTATGTTGTGAAACTGTCCATTTTATTTTAGATCCTACAGCAGCTACTAGGTTGTCATCTCAAAACTTGAAGTGTTTTATGGTGATTTTATTATTATTATTATTTAAGATAAGGAATAAAACAGTAGTTTTTAAGCCACATTAAAAAGTTAAAATAAAAAAAAATAAAACAACAAAGAAGCAGTTTCATTTATTTTCCACTTATTTTTTGTAAAGAGGACTGTTTAAACAAATGCAAGCCAAGTTACTAAGCCTTTCAGGATATGGTTAGAGATTCCATTTAAGATATCTAGCACAGAATCATTTGCAATCCAGCCAGATGAACAGTGTTTCTTTGAAGCAGCCAAAGCCCCTTTAGAAGTAAAAAGGAAGCAAGCCTAATGGAACCTCTTCCTAATGTTAAAAATAGTAATCTCAACTCTGGAAAAGATGTAATCTCTCAGCTGCACTAAACACACTCCAAAGCCTCTCCAAAACTTTCTCACAAGTGGAACCCTTTTCCTCTCTGAAGGCAAACCAAGCTACAGATTCAAAAATCTTAAGCATAACTACTGGCAAGAATTCTGTGCTCACACAGGTTTTAGCTGACAGAAATCCTGAGTTACATTTAAAGGTTCTGAAAAAAATGAGTGCTCAACCAGATGTACTTGTAGCCAGAAAGCGTTTTTGCTCCAGAGAGTTGAATTATTTGTTTTGTTACTGAGATGCCTGAAGCATTTATTTTAATGGAGATTATTAGTCAACAATGGGTTGAGTGAGATAGACTAAGAGAGAAATAATCCACAAAAGGAATTACTCTCAGCCATCTCAAGCTATAACCAAGTGCCTATTCTTTATTTTAGGCTTAGGTTACTATTAGAAATCACAGTAGTACACTTCTCCTCAGATACGCTAACACAAACATTCACACTAATCAAACTCAACAAACATTTTCCAAAAATTTTTCCTTCTGAGGCACAGAAGGAAACAATATTTCCATTTGAGGACACACAACCCAAACTGGAGTTACATACATTCTGCCTCAATAACCTCCTACTTAAACTCCTTTCCACCATACCGACCACACATTTTGTTTCTCCTACATTTAATTTTTCAGTACCTCTTCTAGTTTTAGGTGTTAACCTTAGAGGGAGTATGGAAGAGCAGACTTTGAACATTGCTGAAAAGGATCCCCAGCACTGAAGGGCACAGATCAAAGCATCTGTGTAGGAAAACTGACAACAGATGCTCAAAGAGTAAATTATGGAACAATGCTACAACACGATGAACACTAACTGATATTACTGGAAGTCACTTGACTGGATCTTCACCTGCGTAAGTGCAGAAGTGGAAAAGCCAAGCTTTTTACAACACTTACCTTCACAAACCTGCTTCCTCCATCTCAGTACAAATTCTTCTCCACCCACACGCACACAAGACAACATCACTTTAAATGGTAATCAGATTTTTTTTAATACTCATTAACACTTCATTTCAACAACATTAGGTTACACAGACAACTCAGTATATTGTACACAGCAGAAGCTAGTACAGTATTTTAAAGCTAAAATGAAGTCAGTGTATCTGACTATGAAATTTCACAATTACTGAATGCTTTTGCTAATTCTGACTCTAATCTGTTGTGAGACTATGTTCCTTTTGTGCCAGACCATTTACCATAAAATGGGATAATGCCTCTGTTACGAGGGATTAGAATGCTAAGGTTTTAAAGCACTGTGAAATTTTATTCTTATTTACAGAACACTACAAAGTGCCTGATATTATCTTTGTCAGATAATAATTAGTTTCTCCTAAAAATAACAACTTAAATCTCGTTTGAAAAATATGAAGTATTCAGAAACAAACCTACCTTTCTGCTGTAAGGATTGGTAATAACCAGATTGGTGTCATCAGAACCAGATAAAATATATTCTCCCGTATCATTCCAGCAAATTGTATTCACCTGCATGAATTAACAATTAGACTTGCATTAGAATTTTCAGACTATTAAAATCATTAACATACTATATTTATCCAACAGTACAAAAAAAGGAGTTAACAAATGAAACTGAAATAATGCCACTTTTCATCAGCTAGCACACGCACACAAAAAATTACTTTCAAAATAAACTGATAAGGGAATGACCTGCTTCACCTACGGCCTCTCTATTTGCAACTCAGCTATTCCCTTTGCTCCTGAAGAGTCCATTAGGTAAATTAAGCCTTCCCACAACCACCTCAAATCCCTCCATTTTATACATTCAAGTGTTTCAATGTAGCAAATATACTCCAGGGAGTTCTCTAAACTTGAACTAGCACCCCATCACTATATCTTCACAGTGTCCAAATTCCAAATATCCACTGCTTTACAGGCTTCTCAGACATGACATCTTCTCAAGGATCCTGTGAAAAGCAACGTAGAATCCATCTCAGATCCCCCTCTGAGGAATGTATGCATGCTGGAAAAGCCAAGTCCTACAGAGAGGTGCAAAGTCACATTGGGAGAATTTTACAATACGTTTCTTTACCAATTTGCCTTTCCACAATCTTGTGTTCAGTACTGTGCTAATGATATAAAGCTGCAAATTCAAAAACCAGGAAACTCAGAAAGCATCCTTAAAGCAAGCAAGGTTTTTCTTCCAGCGGTAGCTCATGCACAAGCTCCAAAGACTGTATGCATGACCATTATTACTTCAAATTGTCTCTAAAATAGCTTTAGCTGTCAAACTGCAGCCATCAACATTTTTCAATGGCTATTTTCTGCAGGCAGGATAACTGCTGTGATTTGATATAAGCGGACTATATCATTAGTCAAAACTATTTTCTAACATTCTTTTCTTATGCTTTCTTTTGATTCAAATGTCTCATTTGTGTGGGCCTAAAAGGCAAAAATCTTTTTGTTTAAAATAAGAATATTCATTTTAGTAACTATTTTAAGCATAACTCAGTTGGAGTCCTTGTTCAGGCAAAGTTGCAAAATGAGTATTAGCTGTTTGCATGGATGGATCACATGGGCAAGTGGATTAATTACCAGAATGTGATATATTTGTTGACAGTCTTTAAACTAACTTCAGGCACTAGAAAAAGAACAGAAATGCAAATGTCATTCTGCCAGTGTATCCACGCATGGCAGATCTGCACCTTCCATACTGCAGCTTTGGTTCATATTCCACCCCCATATTCTCAATTTCTATTAATATCCATTTGAAATGCAAAGTTACGAAAAAGAATGGCTAGGATGACTGGGAGTACTTAAAGCTTTTTATTGCAAATTTGTGCTAGTACAGGGGAGAGAGAAAAAAAATATGACAAAGGTTCATGAAATCATTCACAGCATGGCAAAAGTAAGAAATAATTTTCCATAGTTCTTTATAATACAGGAAATGGAGGACCTTCAGTGAAAGCATCTCACAACACATCCAAAATAAAGGGTGATTCTCCTATGGCATTTTATTAAAACTGTAGTTCATTGTCACGGAATGCCCTAAACACCAAAAGTGGAAAAGAATATTTGTCAAAGAAAAATGACCAAAAACAAAGATGCAAACTTCACTTCCATTTGTCCATTAAAGTCCGATGTGCTCTCCCTTCTATACACTGGCCATGTCTCTGCTTTCTTCAAAAATCAGTTCTGGCCACCATCACAGCCAAGTCACCAGGCTTGACTGAGTGATGCAGCTTGGCTACTCCAACAGCCCTGGCTGTCAGTCACCAATAACTACTCATTCAACTAGCCCCTGGATCCATTCAACATGGAAGTAAACTGTTCTGATAACTACAGTACTCAAAACACATAGTCAAGCACAGTGCAGTATTACAGTTAGTACCAACACTAGAATGTTAATTTTCATCTACATTTCCTTTCAGGCAGCTAAATACCATGACTGCCCTTAAAGAAATCAAAATGCTAACACAAAGTTACAGGAACAAAAAGTGAAAACCACAAGAAGCTGTAAAAAGTAGAGCAGGGGGGAGGGAGGGGCTGGGAAAGTGATGTGAGAAAGCTTGCATAAAAATTTAACTGATAGCAGTAGAAAGGATGTCCAAAAAGCCTGAAACAAAAGTAAACATAGCACAGGGAGAAATGTATAGAAGAAACAAAGGAGAGAGACAATTATATGAATTGTGGTGTCACAAGCCTACACAAGACATCAAACATCATCTTTTTAAATTCTGATTTCATTCATGTTTGAGCAACTTCAGCGTACCAAAGCCAAATTTGGTTTAGAACAACTATGAAGCAAGAAGACAGCCCATGCTGGAAGTCTACAAGTAAACAGGCTTTTAATTCTGTACTGGATCACCTTCCCAACATTACTGACAAAAAAAAAAAAAAAAAAAGAAAAAAAAAAAATCCTTTCAGTGATTGACTTTTATTTTTATTTCCCCAGAAAACATTTATGCAAGCGATCAATTAATACATTACACTTCTCAGTGCTCAGTAGACTCCACTGACCAACACTGAATTACCCCAATAAATACACATATGCACAACTGAAAACAGATGGCCAATGTCAGCAGATTAAGAAAAATCCTTGCCCTGTTCCAATGTAGAACACACACTCTTAAAATACATTCTCAACTGAGGACTACCTAGAAAACTCTTTCATACTGCACAACTGTTTAGAAAAGCTATACATCTATTACCTTCACAGCCACTCACTGCCTAGCTGAAAGCACAGTGTAACAGTCACTACACAAAGGGTTTGAAAGTCTTCATTTTAGGGTCAAAATAAGAAAGATGTCATACTGAAGTGACAGAAATTTAGAATGAAAAAGACACGGAGTATGTAATTAGCTTTTTTCTATTAGGCATTCCACACTTTATCATCTGCATAAAATTTTGTTTGTTTCTCAACTAGCCTTTTAAGGAAATCACAGAATGGCCCGGATTTGAAGGGACCTCAAGGATCGTGAATCTCCAACCTCCTGCCTCATGCAGGGCCACCAACCTCCCCATTTAATACTAGCCCAGGCTGCCCAGGACCCCATCCAGGGGCCTTGAACACCTCCAGGGACAGGGCATCCACAACCTCCCTGGGCAGCCTGTTCCAGCACCTCATCACTCTCTCTGTAAAGAATTTCCCCCTCACATCCAACCTAAATCTTCCCTCAAGTAAAGCAGTGAGCTCTTTTAATTTGTCACTCAAATAGGAAAAAAAAAAATTAACATCTACTAGAATCATAGAAACATGGAATCACCTAGGTTGAAAAAGACCTCAAAGATCATCAAGTCCAACCACCAATCTGGCCTACTGAGTTCCTTCACTAAGCTGCATTCCTCAGTGTCATGTCCGTACATCACCTCTGTGATTCCCTCAAAGAGAATACAGGAAGCAGCCAAGCCTTGAGGCTGAAAATTCTGAATTTTCACTCACTCCTTTGTAACATACCAGTAAAATGAGCTGTTTTGTAAACAAGATACGTTAACAGTGTTTAAAAAACAGAAGAAATGAAATAAAAATGTCTTCAGAGACATATCAGAAAGACCTCTCAAACACAGAAGGGAGTGAAAAAGCACTACTTGTCACATATGGAGGAAGAAGTAAGAACTACATGTTCTAACAGCATGCTAAACAGACTACTTACATTAATTCAAACATAACTTCGAGGACTATTTCTAAAAAGAGACTTGCTCACAAATGCTCTGCTGAATGAGATGTATGTCACACCAAACACTTGATACTGAAGTGAATATCTATACATAGAAACAAGAAGTTATTCCTTCAGGTGCTCCTCTCCCCTCCAATTCAGAATGTATTTTTTCCATATAGCAAATGATCCATCTACCTACATATTCTGTAATTCTACCTTATCAGTTTTCACAGAATTCAATCAATGTGTTTTAGATTTGCTTTCTTCTACTTACCTCATGCTTAGTTGCTACCAGTCCAACGCAGCCAATTTCAAAGGAAAACACCTCACCTAATTTTACACATCTACTATTGAGCTTCTCACCCTCTTAAGCTCCCTTGAGAGCCAACATGGGAAACAGCAACTTCTGGGCTCAGTTTGGAGACAGAAATCCCAAACACACAGGTGCTATGGTAATATTAATGCTACAAAAATATGAATACTGCAAGTATCTCACAGAACTATCATCCTGCCTCAAGAATGTTGGGTGTGAGTATGATTATACATACAGGCCTATTTTCTGACAAGACCTTGCTCTTGTGTAATACATAAATCAAATGGTGAGTAGGAATTTAGACTTTTATCCTCCATTAGAAAAGCAAATTTGTGCTTTAAGTATGTTGTTCATCTTTTTTTTAGCAATAGTCTGCTTTACACAGAATATACAAGTCAAAACTAACTCTCCAGAAGAATATAAATGCCTGTAACAAAATAACAGAACCAGAAAAACTCTTAGTAAGATTTCTATTACATTCATTCCTTACGTTTGAAATGTATGCCGACTGAGCAGTTACAGTAGGAGGGGATGGGAGGCAAGAGACTAGTATAATTTACTATAGGTGGCATAAGCATTTTAAAGAGGAAGGACATCGCAATCCTCACTTGACTTCTACATCTACAAAAGCAATACAGCAAAAAAATCTTATTCCAATAGCTATAATTTCATTCAGAAGACAGAGCTCTGAGTATTTATTCACTCTCCAATAATTCTGTGCACAGGCAAGTAAGCCCAACTGGTATTTTAACTTGTTTTCTGACACTGGCGAATCACTGTTATGTTAAAGCCATTCAATGAAGCCATACAATGTTAAAACAAATTTCTTTGTTCCATCCTTAGTTTAAGTATTTAAAAGAATATGCCTTGTAACATTTGGAGCACTTTCAAAAATTAATCATTTAAATAAGCAATATTTAAAGCTTTTTTTTTTTTTTTTGTCTTTACTGTCACTTTAAATAAGAATACAGCACTCAATCATTTGTTTTTTAAATGTGAAAAATAAATCACTTAAAATATCAATACTGTTTTAAGTCAAAAAAGTATATCAGCACGGCACAAAATTATTCCACTTAAAGATTGGTTCTAACTGAAAAGACAAGCGTGTGTTTTCCTGGCACATGAGCTTAACTCATTCAAGCGCAGGACACGGTACTGAAGGAGAGAAGTGAAGTATCCTTCAAGGATAAAACATTGAATGCTTAAGAGGAAACAAATACCTAGAGAATTCAGATGTAGGTCTCAGCAAGCAGAGGTTTCCAACTCAGATTTAAGACATGGTATTTGCATTTTTAAGTCCAATGAACTATTACTGTGGCAACATAATCACTACTTAACAACATTTAACAAAGAAAAAATAGCAACAAGTCACTTACACATCCATCGTGCACATTCAAGGTTGCTTCAAGTTTTAATCTTTGGATAAATTCTCTTCTCCCTGTGAAGAAAAATACTAATTACAATACCCTTTTAAAACGGTAACATGAAGAACTAATTTAGATCCTACTAATGGAGACTAGCAAGTATAAACCTAAACAACGAAGAATCAGAATATAACTGTCAGTCTCAAAGCAATTCATACGGTTTTCATTTCACAAATGCTAAGATAAGCATCACATTTGCTAGTTCTTCCACCACTTTCAACAAGGTACAAATGGCAACATGCACAGTTCACAAGTTGAAGGCTGCCTTGAAACAAATCGCTGTAATATCCTGTGGTTTTTTCGGTCAACTTTGCTGAAGACAGCAAGTACAACATAGCTTCACAACTCTATACTTATATAAAATGTCTTAAAGAAGAACATGTTTAGGTCTCAAGTAAAATACGATCTCAATTTCAACAAAAAATTAGAAGATCCTTGAAGTATTATCTACAATTCCACATTTGCTCTTAAGCTAGAGAAAACACAACTTCAATTTTGTTATTAATGCTGCATTTTGAAAAGCAGAAGTGAAGTCCTGTACCACTGCATTTGATTTGTACATGAAAGATTAAAAAAAAACAAAAGTAAAGTTTTGGAAAGGTGATATAAAATGTAGAGATGAAGGAGAAAAAAGAAATCTATAAATGTATATTGACTACAGTAAGGTCCCATGAATGTTATGCTCTTATCTGCATGCTAGCTGCCATCCACATGCAATTTATAGCCCTACTACACAATACAGCTGAAGAGCAAAAAAAAGGCATATTGAAAACAACATCACTACTTCCTGAAGTACCTAAACAAAAGTTGGAGGTATTTGGTTAGAGGGCCTTTGTGTCAGGAGAACAGGTTAAAATGAATGTAAAAATCCCTAGAAAGTATTTTCAAAAAAGGCAAATATTGGCAAGCTTGATCTTTCCACTTCAATTCTAAAACCCTGTAGACTCCAAGAATACTATTTTTCTATCCTCTATTTCTAGAACTCTTAGAACAAAACTCTAGGTAAGGTACTAGGCTGTATTGTTTCTGAATACCACACTACTGCATCCACTCCAAATTAACTTTCCTTTAAGGAAACTAGGTAGCCTCAGAGAGAAAAACTAGAACAGAAGAAAACCCTCCCTATATCAGAAAGCTCTACACTTCATGGCTTGTTTTGGTTCAGATGAAATGGGAAGCCCTATTTAGGCATCCAGCCTTGCTGATTCTGGCATTCCAGTACAAACCTGAAACCACAACTTCTCCTCTCTACTGTTCCCTGAACAAAAAAGAGACCACCTGATATCCTCAGCTGACCCCTCGCAAACCAGGCTGCCACAGGCCAGACACTTGACTGAGAAGCAGGCACAGGACATCAGTGCTACACACCCCCAAAGACACAGGGACTCTGAGCATTACAAGCTCCAGCAGCTACAACTGCACCTCAGCAAATGTGCATCCAGCCTTCCCTCCATGCAAAGGCATGCTTTGGCAGCCAAACTTCCACTAATACAGCTCAAGTACCACAGCAGACTGAAGAATGTTCTTTTACAAAGGATTTTTTTTGTTTTTTTTAAGAGGATGTATGACTGAGTGAGATGATTATACAGCAACTGTTTCTAAGCACATCTAAGGGAGATTAAAAAACAAATTAAAAACATACTACCTTACTAATTAAGTGGTGCAGTATTCAGCATTAGTCTTTCTAGTCTTGTTTGACTGCCGTAGCTGTAGACAGAGCAAGAATTCTAACAAAAGCATTTAGAATTGCAGTGTAAATTTAAACTTCTTTTGGATACCCTCTCTACACTGCTGGTGGGCTGTTTTCTACCCGAAATCAGTCTGATTTCAGAAAATTTAGAGATAGCACAGGGACTAAAGATGAGTCACTAAAGAGACATTGCAGAAGTGTAAAAACGTTTTGCCTCCAAAAACCTTTCTTTCTTCATTGGCTGCTCCGAAAGCAAGCCTCAATTTTATTATGTCAGCCCACAGTATCAGAGGCAGATGTTGGTTGTACGGCAGTAGAGGTTAAACCTGCCCATCAGTATCCCAATACATGTTGCCCATGTGATAGAGGGCAGCAGAGGGGCAGTCTGACCGAATGGAATCTGACATGGAAGTGCATATGAAGCAAACATGACAAATTTCTCCATGCAGAAGAAATGGCATCCACTACATTTATAGCCATCTTCTCCAATGAAGAAAGGTTGAGGGAACAGGGCTTGTTTAGCTTGGAGAAGAGAAGGCTCTGGGGAAACCTCATTGTGGCCTTCCAGTATTTGAAGGGAGCTTATAAACAGAAGGGGGAACGGCTGTTTACATGGGTGGATAGTGACAGGACAGTGGTTTAGGGGAGATTTAGGTTAGATATTGTGAGGAAGTTTTTCCACTGGTGGAAAAACCTCCACCAGAGGCTGGTGACACACTGGAACAGGTTGCCCAAGGAGGCTGTGGATGCCCCATCCCTGGAGGCATTCAAGGCCAGGCTGGATGTGGCTCTGGGCAGCCTGGTCTGCTGGTTGGCGACCCTGCACACAGCAGGGGGGTTGAAACTAGATGATCACTGTGGTCCTTTTCAACCCAGGCCATTCTATGATTCTGACACTTGCTGAACATTTCTGGAGCCCAAACAATGGATGTGGGCACAGTGATGCAGTGGGTGGTGCATTTCAGCAGTGGCAACAGAGACATCAAAGACAAGCCATGTTCTGGACAGCCATGCACAGCTGTCACACCACAAAATGAAAAGTGTCTCAAACAGCACATCTGCATGAATCATCAGAGCATGACCAGGGAACTCTGCAGAGCTGAATATCAGCTTCAACACTTGGGAAAAAAATGGCAATGTTGAAATATTGCAAAGTTTACACTAGGTGCTCCTCATGAATGCTCACACAGGGGTAGAAAGAACACCATATGTAAATTTTGTCAGGACCTACAGAACAGATAAGAGGCTGAAGGTGACAGTTTCCCAGAACACGTCCTTACTGATACATGCTGTCACTACTATGAGCTGGAGTCAAAACAGCAGCCCATGGAGTGGCAACATGCAAATTCCCCAACAAAGTTCAAGATGCAGCCTTCAGTGGGTACAGTGATGTGCACTGTCTTTTGGGATAGGAAAGGGGTGATCCCTCTGGATTTCCTGGAACCCAGACAAACCACCCACTCTGACCTCTACATCATGATGCTAACTAAGTCAGGCCAAGACAGCCTTTCTCTTGCAACATAACAGCAGGCTACATGAGAGACTGTAGACTTATTGCTCATCTTGGCTGGACTGTCCCACCACACCCACTTTATAGGTAAAGTACTAAGATAAGCTAGAAGCAATCCATTCAGTTTTCTTCTTATTTTATAATGCAAAACTTGAGTCAGCAGATCCTGAATGTGTTTTTTCCTCCTAAAATAAAAAACGGAACTACCTGAATAATCTGATCTAAAGAAAATACTGATTCTGCATTCACTGTTTTTTAAAAGCTGACTTAACAGTCCACAAAATCTTTGTTCCTCATATTGCAGCAATGACTTTAATAAGTTCTCTGGCCTGCTGAAAAAGCTCAGCAGTAAATAAATATTATAGTTTTCTGTTATTTCAGTCACCTGAACATTTTTTGTAACGTTCATATTTTTTATCACATTAAATGGTATTGTTTTCAGTGCCTTATCTTGCTAACTAGTAGGCTACCCTCCTACTTCATTCTTAAGATTCCTTGTCACAACTCTTATCACTAGACTTCCTAAAAGTCAAATTCTCCTCTTCAAGGACTCCGCTCTTCTGGGTGACAAGCATCCTGACAAATCCTTAATTCTCATTCACCTATTGCAGTGGCTACCTGTTCCCTCTGTCCTCCAGCAAAGATGGCTGTCATGGATCCTCTCTTTACCTAAGACAGTAGGGGAGATGCAATCTCTCAGAATAATTCTTTCTGGATTCAAGACCTCTGCTGATTTTTTTTTCTGTTTGTTTGTTTTTTGCTTAAGCGCGTATTTAAATGCATGCCATCAGAGAATTAATGAGAGGATGGCCTTAATACATAATTACTTCTCTTCAAGTAAGGTCTGTTTATGAGATGGTCAAGTGACTGAGCTGTCATGACACACGTTAGCTCACTGGAGACATATGTGAGGTTTGTTTTGAAACTCTTGAGGTCAAACTATCTACAAAAAAAAAAAAAAAAAAAACAAAAACAAAACAAGCACTGTGAAATTTCAGGTGGTTGTGCTGACCTCCTTTAAGCATTTATGTATTTGAAATCTGGAGAGCTATCAAGCCAGCACTCTACCCATGCACTCACCACACAAGCTGAAATATAGGAAAGCAGGCAAAAAAAGAAAGCACAGATGCTTACTTGTACGTTATCTCTTCAATATGCTACCTGCACATAATGTCAAACCAACGATGCCTTGCCAACACACCTCTCCAGAGAACCACCTAGCAATGGTACTTCAGAACACATGACAGCAGAAAAGCTCAATGCTTCAAGTATGTAAGACCTTTATATTCACTCCAGATCTTTTCATTGAAAATAGAGATAGCATTTCATGAAGGTCTAGACCAGAAAGTGTGTTTGCGCTATACAGAAATATAACCAAATCTTGATGCAAAGCTGCACCATCACAGTATGTGAAACTGAAAGGTAACCTTTATTCTGAAAAACACAAATAGATCCTGTTTGTCAAACAAATGCTCATTTAAGTCAAGCTGGCTCTTCCTGAGGCCAAGTCCCTCGGTGCTTGCTTGCTGTGACATTTGAAATGCCCCAGTTTAAAACTGAAACAGAGCCAGAGCCTGCTCCCACTGCAGAGCACACAGTATCCTGCTTTAAGAGCATTTCAAAATTTCTCTTGGACCTCCAGCACTGAGTTTATACATTTGAGAAGCTGTTTCATAAGAAGATGACAGTCCAGTTAATCTGTAAATGGTTTATTAGGCTGGACTGCGTCAAACTCCGCACAATGACTAAGTAGATATAGGTAGCTCCAAAAGTAATGTCTCCTATTCATTTCCACGGAAATTACTACGAAGAGC